GGTACCTTGGGAAAGTATCATTAGTANGCAAGCTGAGTGTTGACAACAAACTTTTAATTTACAAAGTTATCCTTAAGCCAGTTTGGCTGTACGGAATCGAATTATGGGGTAGCGCCTGCAATTCGAATATCAGTATTATACAAAGAATGCAAAACTGTATCTTGCGCTCCATAAGTGGTGTTCCGTGGTTGGTCACAAACACTGAAATACACAAAGAACTAGGGATGCTTACAATATTGCAGGAAATCATAAAATTTAAACAAAAACACCACGAAAGACTGGAAAAGCACCCAAACAATCTGGCTGCCGCCTTGAAAAAACGTAGTTACGGTAAACGGCTCAAGAGAAAAGACGTCATATAGTTCAATGACAAATCTTAAATTTAGAGTAGATGGCTCGCTGGAGTCACGCTCTTACTGACTTAGAAAATTTCAACTCATCTAATAAAAGTACTGGATACTGATTGTAGATAAAAGAGAAAAAAAAAAAAAAAAAAAAAAAAAAAAAAAAAAAAAAAAAAAAAAAAAAAAAAAAAAAAAAAAAAAAAAAAAAAAAAAAAAAAAATAAAAAAAAAAAAATATAACAGGTCAGTAGCTCGCCATGTTTATACATTACAGTGGTCGTTCACGAACTGGTAATCGTGACCTCTGCGGTATGAATCACGCGACCTGATGCGATTCGCTACTCCGCTGCGAATACTGTGACTGTGGACTTAATACATTAACCAGTATATAAATCTAAAATGCTTTTGGTTCTTCCTATTCGGGCGTATATGAGTAGATTAATTGCCGAAACGGTGCTGGGAGCAAATCGATTCGAATTCCGTTCCGAAAACAACCTGGTTCCCTGAACTTATAAAATTAAATGTAGTTTAAAAGAAAAAAACAGCTAAGTAAGTTTTTTCCTCAGTTTAGCAATTATTTTTTTATTTATTGAAGTGAAACTTCTTTAGGCGCATGAGGGTAATTTTTTTACAAATGTAACGTCACGCAGGTATGCAACGGAAGTATCGAAAAAGAGAGAGAGAGAGCGATCGAGACCGATTGAGAGAGAGTAAGACAGGGCGAACATAGCATGAAGCAACTATCCATGGAGTGAGAGTAGGGTAGGGAGCAAGTAAGTGAGAAAGATCGAGAGAAAAAAAGAGATCTGTCTCTTATGCTCAGTTCTGATGCTCAGTTCCTACATACTTATAAAGTTTTTTTTTTAATACAGTGCCATCTGTGGGATGTTTTAATACTAACGTGTGAAACCTCTTGTAGTGAATTTTAATTTAGGATATACATGAAGTTAAAATATCAATCACAGAGAGCGCTACCACATACTATAAAAGTTGATTTACAATTATTTACTAATGACAAAATTTTACTAATAATATACTTAGACATTTAGGATAATAATTATAATAATTGTATTTTAATTTTTGAAGGTTTCACTTCTAACACGTGTGAATTGCACACATGTTATTTTTTTTGTTTTGTAGCTATTGATACCACATCTTGCGCTATAAACTAAAAAAGAAATTGAAACAGTTTTTCTCCGCCTATAAACTTTAGTAAAAAAACGGCTATAACGAACTGGTGTTAAGTGATCTTAAGATATAAGTTCTAAGGTCTCAATATAGTTAGAACGGCTGCCCCACCTTTCAAACCGAAACGCATTACTGCTTCACGGCAGAAATAGGCGGGGTGGTACCTACCCGTGCGGACTCACAAGAGGTCCTACCACCAATAAAACCTACCATGTAGTAAAACCTACCTGCTACGAACATCAGGTATCACTGATGAATGTCGAATTTCGATCACTGTGCCAACTCTACATGTGAATATATAAAAATACACAACAAAATAATATTTAATAAAGTCCAAAGTTTATGATTGACATTATCCAGGTATGGCGCCAGACAGTTACACAACGAAAAGATTTCATCTCCACATTATTTTGGTGGCAACAACAATACGTGATTACACCAAATAAGGACCCTGTTTAAATCTCTTTTTTGCTTAAAACTCTTTAAAAACGACTGCCAGACACGGTTCTTTTTAATTATAAATCTAGTCATTGTCGTTTATAGTAAATTGGTTAAATTATTTTAGGTGGAATAGAATTATCCTATTTTAGAAGTATCTACTACAAAAAAGGTTGAGGCCACGTTAAAGACACTTCTATATTATGAAATATAGTAGTTAATACGCGTATTAATTATGAGACGAACACTGGATTGGTATTCACAGATTTACGAAATAAGCGCAACCAGAAACAAAAAAAAAAATAGCGTTCGATTCTTTTTTATGGCTCAAAAATCTCTCGTTTAAGTACCTATAAGAATTGCAGAATAAATCATTTAGCGGGGAGCACAAAACACAAGATGTTTGACTGATGCTTCAATCTCGCTAACTACATTTTCAAGCTTGATTTTATACAAGTTCCGAACAATAACAATCGGATTGTCGGTGTATCGAACAATTTCACTTGCTCGGTAGAAGATCCATTGTGTTAACTCTCAAAAATATTTACCTTATTATGATTTATTTTATAATATTCGTAGTACAGTTTTTTTCTTCATAAATCGATATATAAATAGTTAAAAATAAAAGAGCATCTAAATTACACGTACAAAACGAATTTAATCATTTCATCAAGCCACCAAAACGCTAATTAATACAAAGTTTGTTTTTTCTATCTATTCTAGTGACCCCGACGGATCATGCTAGATTCACCGAACGAGTAGGTGATCTCACGGGGCTCTAACCTGAGGAAGTTGCTAACGCTAGCCCTAGTAAGAGCAGTGCTTCGCAGAATCTCCCACCGGATCGAGAACGCGACCCACTGAGAAAATCCGGCGAGAAACTCAGTGGGCTCAGTTCGCTGAACCCTTCGTCACAAGCGACGAGCTTGACGAGGCGGTGACTGGTGCTTGAGGTACCTAAAAGCACCGACAGTGGATCGGGAGGATCCGAAATGACGTGCTTAGGGCGAAGGCGACTGTTTACCGTTCAGTCTGCAGGATCGCAAATACAAACATGGAACCGGTCACCGTCCTCGCTGAACCCTTCGTTCGCGACGAAGGGTCGGCGAGTAAATTAACCCACAGACACAACCAACTGAGTTTCTCGCCGAATCTTCTCGGTGGGTCGCGTTTCCGATCCGGTGGTAGAATCTGCGAAGCACTACTCTTGCTAAGGCCATTAGCAACACCTCCGGCCTGAGCCCTAAGAGCTTACCTACACGCTAGGGTAACGCTGATATAGCCGCTCAAGGCTATCAGCATAGGAAGAGAAAAAAGGATATGATACGTAGAGCTTAATTATTGAATGTGTATATTATCTAAGATCTATATATTGTAACAAATTATACAAAGGTTAGTCATAAGATTATAATATTTTTTTAATCGGGACAAATTATGGTGAAAATTTATTGCCATCTAAGAAAAATGCAATTTCAGCTTGCGTAAACATTTGCACCTGTTAGTAACTATAAAGGAAGAAAAACTGTAAAAACACATGAAGCTATGGAATATAACTCTAATTAAATAATGTACGATACAAAACCTTTAGCCTATAGGCACAGGCTCTATATGTTTTATAAATTGCATTTAAATAATTAGGTACCTATCCTTTATTTAGGTACATATAGTATATTTAGTACACAATAAGGGCGAAATATTTACTTAATATTTATTTAGTGTACGCGTACATTAAATCTTATCAACATTTTCTGAAACGGATAAAATGAATTCTTGCCTCGTGCCATGTGTCCAAGAATTATCCCACCGATAATGGTACCAATACTGGTCCCACCAAATATGGTATGCATAACTTTCGAAAAACATTTGCACGCTATCTTCGTGTGTAACTCATCCTCAAATTAATATCTGGGGATTTTATTCAACCTACAACATTATCATTATTTGTTGTGTCTTATGTATTTAGTGTATTATCTATGGTACCTTACGTTACTTTAACTCTTCGGTTTTAGTAAAAAAATATGTTGCTTTTTTTTATTCGCCAATAGCTTCGAAGGGTTGTTGCGGCTTCCCCTAACAGGTAGATTCACAGGTCTCAGCCTGAAATAATTTGCTAACATCTGCCGTAGAAAGTGCAGTACTTCCTTGAATCTACCACCGGATCGGAATCGCGACCCACTGAGAAGTTCTGGCCGGAAAGTCAGTTGGTTCTGTCTACGGGCTAAGTAACAAGTCGAACTCTTCCTCTGGCGGCCACAATAAGCCTTCCAACACTATCTTCAGATACTTACGTACCTATTGATTCTCATTTAGGGTCGTCGTGAAGATCTACATTCCTCATATGCCACGGCCATTCCACAGAAAACTCGACCGGGCTTTAAAATTAGTGCTTATACTAAATGTAAGCAGGGCATTTTACTGGTAAGACGTCTTGTGAGTACGCAGGGGTAGGTACCACCACCCTTCCTATTTCTGCCGTGAAGCAGAAATGCGTTTCCGTTTGAAGCGTGGGGCAGCCGTTGTACTGTAAAAACTAAGACCTTAGAACTTATATCTAAAGGTCTAGAAGATGTCTATGGGCTCCGGTAACCACTTAATCCCAGGTGGGCCGTGAGCTCGTCTACCCACCTAAGCAATAAAAAAGAGAAAGAGTGGATGCCTTGCAGCGCTTCGTCTGGGATTTGTCGGAGGAGAAAGCAGGTTTCCGGTATTCAATACCGAAACGAACGGTTCGTACAAATTTAGTTAAGAGCTCTTCTAGAGTTTCTATTTTAAGCTACGAAAGGTTTTTGGAATATTTTAAAAGGTTCGTAATCGATTAAACTCTATGAGAAGAATATAATAAACTATAGTATCCAAATTATTTAAAATAATTGATGAAAGAGGTTTTTCTTTACCTTTTTAATATAGATGTCTAATTTTGCACTTAAAACCTTATGCTTAATTGCTCTTCTTTAATTATAATTATGAACTTGTATGGCTTATTATCCCTTTGCCTCCCCATATGGACAAAAAAACTACATCCCAATCCAACGTCACGTACACGAACATTAATTACCTACCAACTTGTGTCAGTTTGTTGAAAATTCGGCATTTTTATCTCATATCAACTCACAAATTATTGTAAACAATGAGTTGACGTGTGCCCTGGGGTCAAGTAAGAATACTAATAATTCATACATTCCACATTTTAAGTAAACGTTATTTACATTCTCGCATTTACCATGGCCGGTTTCCCAGTGAAATTAGGTACAATTTTGTCATTTATTTTAGTGTTTTACGCTATTTACTATCGAAAAACTGACATAGGAGACGTTAGATTGTCACCTGTGAAGGAACATCTATTGTCCTTGGAAAATGAGAATAGAGTCAAAACAGGGAATATGCAACCGCACGTTGCTCTGGGCTACGGTGCATGCCATGACCTCTTTGTGAATGCAACGTTATTGTTAGACCATCGTGAATTAATTGGAGTACCACAGCATTTCGACGAAATCACAACTAAAGAGGAGTTTCTCAAAAGTTTTACATATTTCTTCAAGCATGGCGCTGCAGCCGAGTAAGTGTTGGAAATAATTCTGCCATATGTTCCTATTTAAACATGCTGATTGTGTACATATTTTATACTAGTAAATTTTTTATTTTATTTTACACTACTTATAAATATTTAATTCTTAAATAAATGTATAGACATCTATTTCAGTAATTTTTATAACATTAACATGTCATTTCCTAAATCCATATAAAAGAACAAGTTACTAGCACAGTAAAATAAATACCAAAAACCTTTACTTATTTTCAGGAGGTTCATGTCAAATTCCAAGCTTTATGATGACTACATCGAGAGAGCCTTAAACATTCCAGGAACGAAATGGAATATTGGTGGTAATGCACCTCTCATGGCAAAGAGATTCTATATGGAAGGCTGGAAAGTACTCTTTGCTGCTAAAATGAGTAATAACCTCAAGAAGTACATTCCAGAAGAAATCCAAATTGTTGGTGGTGATGAAAATGAAGATATGAAAGATGATATTCATATGATATTAGAGTACAAGGCTGATGCCAAATTTGGCACCTATAAAGCACCGAGAGCAAATAGATACATAGTACATAATGATGAGAACAATCCTTTACTGAGTTCCTTAGAGAAGTTTGGAGAACATTTACCTGGATTCAAACCAGATTTATTAGTCATAAGTGGGTTACAGATGATGGATAATTATCCATTCAAGAGTGACAATGGGAAAGGTAAGAATATAGTTTTAATACCATGATTTGTTCATTGTGTATAGTACCACTGGTGTGTGTATTTATTTGAAGAGTACAGGATTTTCTTTGATTCCCAGAGCCATAAACTTAATTAAAACTACCTACCTTTATTTTTTGGAGTATTACAGCTATTGCTAATTTGACCATTTATCCCATAATTTATCTGTACATTAATACAAGTTAAAATAAAATCTTAAGATCTTTCATTGAGTGCGTTTTTTTTCAGTAGACTAACAGTTCAAGAATTATTCAGAACTTTATTTATGGAGCTTTTCTTGTAGATTATTTTTGGGCCATTAAGGTTTTTGTGAGATTTGTGATTTTATTCTTTGATAGCTCCCACACAGTGCTATCTGTTTTATATTAAATCCAAGTATTTTTTTGTTCCAGATCTCAGAGCTGAAAGATTAGATCTAGTCAAAGAACAAATACTTTCACAACCTTTGAAAACACTAGCACATTTTGAAATGGCCAGTTATGTTGATTTAGAATTGCTCAAACATTTAACTACAAAAGTCCTACCGTATGTAGATTCTGTGGGCATGAATGAACAAGAGCTCACAAATCTTTACAGTGTTCTGGAATATGGAGAAGTCAGTGTTGTTGCAGATTCAAATCCAAGAATAGCAACAGCCCTTGATCAAATGAGAAAGACTTTCAATCTTATTAGACAACAGAACAGAAAATACACTAGTAATAGAAAACTGACACGTATTCATGTCCACACTTTGGCTTACCAAGCGATATTAACAGTAAAAGATTCAAGTTGGCTGAGAACTAAAGCAGCTGCAGCCAAAGCGTCTTTGACAGCTCACCGATATGTATGCAACAGTCAGAATATAGCCCTTGAGAAAGTGAAATTATTACTCGATGACAGTTTCTCAACCACCACCGACAATGATAATACCAGCAGGGTCTTCTTTGAGCCTACAAAACCAGTAGCTTGTTGGGAAGAGATACTGAATGGTGATAGTGTTGAGATATGTATTGCTCCAGTTCTTATCTGCACAGAGGCTCAATTGACAGCAGGTGCTGGAGATAACATCTCTGCTGCCGGTTTAGTGTTACAAGTGGAAAAATGAATGATGAAAATGAATAGGGATGTTGACTCAATATTAAATTATGATCAAAAAGATATCTTGTCTAAAATCTATAATAATACACTAAAAAACTATTAAATATAGGGACAGGGTAGTTGTTTAATAATGAAGTATGTTGCTGTTTTCCAGAAAACAAACTTTAGTGACAAGTGCTGTATGAACAAAATCATTTACAAGTTGCACTTAGGAAACATCCCTATTTAATTGAGAAATGGATCTTTTTTTAGGAATGATTACTGTTATTTAAGTACAAAATTAATATTTATAGCAATAAAAATGCTTATTATGTATAGAAACATAAAATAGATATTTAAGTAGTAGTAGGACAGGTAACAGGTTTTTTGCATGAAGAGAGCAAAAAAATTTTTTTTAGTTTCATTACTCTTTGTTTGCGGTAAATAAATAATACATTCTTACAAACTATGTACAAAATCTATTTTGATTATAATATCTTTATGATATTAATTAATCGATGTATTCAAAAAAATCAAGTCTGATTTTATAATATTATATGTAGTAACCTATGTAAACCTTTACTAAAATTAGTTGGATTATAATGAAATAGTACCCAAATTAAATTATTCTTTGTATTCAAGTAAGCACTGTTAGTTGTAATAGCAATTTGTCTCATATTCTAAGAAAATTATTTAAATCATCTTAAGTGCCTTATATCATTGGTCCTGTATGTCTAAAAAAATTATAATTGGGATAATTACATATGTAATATGCTACTTTCAGTTGCTCATTAGGGATATCTCTTTGCATATGTTACATATGTGAATACAGCACCATCAAAATTTAGATATATTTAAATGATGCATTATCATGCAATTTATTGTATCATAATAATAATAATAGCATAATAACAAGTGATCTAAATAACGAAACATTCCACAGACACATTCTATGCAAAAATACAAATTGAATCTATTTTTTTTTATAAAGATATAACAATTTTCAAAGTTATATTCAGTCCTGCTTGCCATTGCAGAACACCTATTATGCCTGGCTCTTAATAAAATGGACTTTCTTTTGTAGACTTTTTATTATATTTTATTCCCAAAATTAATCAAGCTCTGATGTAATACAGCTTTTCATTAATAAATACAAGCTAATTTTTTTTTATACACAAAATATTTAACAAGCCTTGTGTTATGTTGGTTAAGAGCCCTTATTGATAAATAAAAAAAAAATCATGAATGAAAAAAATTATGAAAGATATTTAAGAGATAAAAATGAAAGATGTGTTTTCATTTTGAATTGAAAATGTCTAAGATAGCTGTGTAAATCAAATAAAGGGTAGTTTTTTGTTTTATTGCACATCACGAAATGTAGAACTTTAGTACCTACCCTCAACTTTGTATCTCGCAGATTTGACACAGTCCATTGATAATACATATAAAACAAGCTATGAAAAACTAGTCACCTGAAACTCTCGGCTTCACTAGGAACATGTAAAGTGTATTGTCTCTGCTAGTAATTAACAAACAAATTATTACCACACTTATGAATACACTTAAAATTTTAAAAACGCCTTAGATCTCTGAAATAGACCATTATGTTCCTATTTTTTATTTTAGGAGCTCATTGCAACTTGTATATCATTACTTATGTTTCATATTAAAGTTGTCGTCTTACTTATATGCCACTACTTTGTGCCATCAAATATTTTAATTTTTTTTTAAAACAAAAAATTACATTTATATTAATTTATATATTTACGAAGTACAAATTTGATTTGTTTAAAAAAAATGGAACTGTAATTCTACATTTCTTTCATTGATGGATTTGTCAATTAAATATAATATATACATAAATGTATAATATGTTAATTGTCTTTTAATAAAGAAACATTCGTTTAGTATGTGTTTTTTATTTTATTAACTAAATATGAAGGATGAAAATGATGCAATACACCTGTTAACATTTAACTACTAATATTTAAACACTTGTCATGATACAGAGTTTCAAAGTTGTTTCATACAATGACATCTGATCCGATTAAATAACATTTTATTTAAATAAATTACAAAAAATGCATATTCACTAAAAGTGGTTAATGAGTAGGTTAAAACGAAACAAATATGCTAGTAAGCTTTGTACAATACTAGAATTATAACAATTACAGGTTTGTTTGTACTAGTTAAATAGGTGGTGAATCATAAAGTAGTTTAATCAGCAGTCAGTGTATCAACTGATAACCATTTATCAATTGTCTAATAGTTTTCTAATACAGCAAATACTCAACTGCTTTTTCAACTTCAACTGCAATTTTCGACTTACAGGTCAATTAGATTGATATCTACAGTGTAGATGCAATTATACCTATTAATATTGCAAAATTATTAAGTTTGAAAGCTTACTTTTTTAATAGTATAGATAGGCAAACTGGCCTTAGGGTCTAACTGATATAAAGTGGTTATTCGAACACTGTTAATACAAATGCCCTTGTAAACCTTCTTCGAAATGTCAGATGCCTTTATTTGTTTAATACTAATTAAATAAATATAAAATAATGACAATAATAATCATTAATACAACAAAAAAGATTAACTTTGACAAACTATCTTAATAAGTTTAGTAAAATACATCTAAATGTAGAAAAAAATATATGAAATTCTTTGGAGTTTGATTTTTCAATTTCTAGTTAAACAGACAGCTCAGTAGAATTCATGCAATGGTTTAAATTTTCATTATTTCAACGCCTTTACAGATCAATGTCCTCACTCACTGTCCTCATACATGAAACTTATTAGTCTCATGAGATAAGTTAAAAAATATATTTAAAGAGCAGTGGAATTTTTTTTCACTCTTTTTGACCTCAAACTAGGATTCTCTATATTAACTAGTTTTTTTATGTAATTTTTTTATCACTAAGATGGGTGGTCGAGCTCACTGATGTTAAGTGGTCACTGGAGCCCACAAACACCAAATGCATTAATGCTGTTACCTACCTTGACAAAGTCAAAAGTTCTAAGTCTCAGGTTTTACAGAACAATGGCTGCCCTACCCTCCATGGAAGAAATCAGCTGAGAGGCAATAGCTACCCATAGAGGCTTGCAAGATGCCCTACCACCAGTAATTGTACAAATTATAGTTTTGATTTGTATTAGACTAAGTTATTCCTTCACCATGGAAGTGCAAATCACTCATCAACATTTGTTCAGTATGTATTTCATTACAAAAATTGTTAGGATTCAAATACCAGCACAGTCACACTACTCAATTTGAATGCACGAGGCATTTTATCATTTAGTATTAGACTTCATTGGAACCTAATGGATTCATTCCATTTTAAGAATTTTGGAAAATAGAGATATATGCATGTGTATCTCTTCTTTCATAACCAAGCAGCCACTAAATAATTATTAATACAGTACCTATAATAGTATCACATAATTGTGGATATTTATAGGCTGGGTCAGACATTATACTATAAAACAGACTTCGAAATCATGTGGCAAGGTGGATGCTTTGAGCTCTGGTAACCATTTAAATCCATACTGAGTCATGAGCTCTTCCAGTTATCTAGGCAATGAAAATATGAATAACAATAAGAAACATCACATGATCTTCATTAAAACACCACAACTGATTCAAAACTACTAATTTCGTAAATCTTAACTGACCCTGACTGAGAATTTTAAAAAGAGCCCTTAGTCACCAATCAATCATGTAGGTGTAACATATAAAATTCAACAATTTTCCTTAAAAAGACCAAAATAGTTAAAAATTACAGATAATTAATTAATTATTTCAACGAATTACTCTTCGTTATCTGAAAATTTTATTCGTTTGTTTAGTTGTTTCACGGGAGCCCTCTGATGGTCGTACAGACCATTCCGTACTAAACGTTTCGCCACTTCAACGTTAACGGTGGGTCTTTTCTGGCGATCCTTCACTTCCTGCCACTTTAACATTGTAGCTTTTATTCTGAGCAATTCATCTTTGATGGGATGTTTTGTGGGATCGATGCCTTTTGTTCGTAAATGTATCCAATGTAGTGAATTTAAAGTGTATACAAAAAACAAATCTAGTTCAATCTGAGCTGGTAGTGACATTTTGTCGTAATTCTTCTTCAACGGAAGGAGTTTATTGAGTACTTGTTGTACTTCTATTAAATTCTCTTTCAAATTTTCAACATTGTTCACGAAATCTTTGTCTTTGGCGAGTTCGCCGTATTTAAAGTCCCAATTAAGTTCTTGGCACATTTTACGTTTTAATTATAAACTGTTTTTTCTTTTCTATATCTAAATAAACACATAGGTACACGACGAAATAAGAACTTTATAACTGTCACCCTTAATTATTATTAACCTAACTTTTAATTAAAGAACGGCATGAACATACGTCACTTGCGTGTGGCCAGGATTTTTTTAAGGGATTTTATGACCTGGTAACTAAAACCTTTAAGTCATGTCTTATTTTAATTTATTTTATTTTTAAATTATGAAAAATGATAAATAGGAGTGAATTGTATTGAAGACATTGATGTATTAAAAAACCCAAGATACACACTCAGCGTCTCAAAAACGTCCACATAAAATGAGTCATTTCAAATAGTCTCGCGTCGCACGCGTCTCTGGCCGTTTTCCAGTTACAGCACAAAAGCGCATTATGCGGCATAATGCTCAACTAAGCTTCAGCATAATTCGGCATTGTGCGTCACTGAGTCGCATTATGCTCTGTAATTGGAAAACTACCATTAAGTAATGGTTAATTTTACTGGTAATGGTTAAGTTTAATGGTTAATGGTTAATTTAAATTGGAAAACTACCATTAAGTAATGTTTAATTACAGAGCATAATGCGACTCACTGACGCAAAATGCCGAATTATGCTGAAGCTTAGTTGAGCATTATGCCGCATAATGCGCTCTTGTGCTGTAATTGGAAAACGGCCTCTGTGCGCTCGTCAAAATTGCCGAAGTATTCGTTGAGAAATTGTAAAAATATTACGTTACGAACGTTAAAAAAGGATGGGATATCGTATATTCGGTAAGCAAAAGAGTTTGTTAATTTGTTTTTGTTGTTTTTATGACTAAATATAGGAAGTATTAAGTGATTTTGATTTAATTTGTCTAAGAACTTCACTCAACGGTTCAAGTATAATACGTCAAATCTCAATGGCCACTTTTTAAGTGTAAGAACTACTATTACAATGCCCTTTATTTTAGTCGCATAATCCAAACGATCCAAAGGAAGCGTTTGGAACCTCTGATTCTGGGTCTGCGGAGGGACTTCGGTTCCCTTTGTATTTTGTACCGCATGTTCCATGGGGAGTGCTCTGAGGAATTGTTCGAGATGATACCAACGTCTCGTTTTTACCATCGCACCGTCTGCCACCAGAGTAGAGTTCATCCATACTACCTGGAGCCACTGCGGTCATCCACAGTGCGTTTCCAGAGGTCTTTTTTGCCACGTACCATCCGGCTATGGAATGAGCTCCCCTCCACGGTGTTTCCCAAGCGCTATGACATGTCCTTCTTCAAACGAGGCTTGTGGAGAGTATTAAGCAGTAAGCAGCGGCTTGGCTCAGCCCCTGGCATTGCTGAAGTCCATGGGCGACGGTAACCACTCACCATCAGGTGGGCCGTATGCTCGTCTGTCTACAAGGGCAATAAAAAAAAAATACATGTGTGCAATTCACACGTGGTAGAAGTGAAACCTTCCAAAATTAAAATACAATTATCCTAAACGTCTTAAGTATATGTAAAATTTTGTCATTAGTAAATAAGTGTAAGGTAGCGCCCTCTGTGAATTGATATTTTAATTTCACGTATAATCCTAAATTAAAATTCACTACAAGAGCTTTCATAGTTTTCATACATACGTTAGTATTAAAAAAATCTCACAGATGGCGCTGTATTAAATAGTATGTATATTTCTGTCTCATTCTTTGCTGGCTTCATCTTACACATTTTTGTATTTGTGTCTCTTACCTGTCGTTTTTTCCGTTGCATCCGGTTTGAAATCACGATTCTAAAGAAGTTTTCACTTCAAAAAAGAAATCTTGTTCTTATTCAATGGAGTCGGTTTTTTTTATTGTATTTAAAGTTTTAATTAATAAGTTTATGCACTTTAATTTTTTTTGTATTTAGTTTTGAATAACTATTCATACGATAGTTTTATTAGTTATAATAATAATATAGTTCTTAATCGAATTCCAGAAGGAAAAGAGGTCGTCCATACGACGTTATTTTTAAAGTTCGTAAATATGGTATTATTATATCGATTACATAAGGGACAACTTATGGCTTCGCGACATACTGCATGCTAATGACAGAAGTGTCGCTCTGGCCCAACACGTCACATTGTTAAAAACTTAAAAATTTCACTTCCGTCGGCAGTTTTCATGACTGCCTAGTTTTTTATGACACTTTTTTATCTTAAGAAGAAGGTTGATTTCGATTTTTGTAGGTAATTTAAGTATCGGGTATAAATTACGGGTGACTATTGAACAAGACGAGTTGTTTTATTTGCATGTTTTATTTGTAACTTTCATATTTTAGTTTTCCTCGTAATCCAATACGATGCGGAGAATGGACATCAATCGTCAGTCAACAAAGATATACCAGGTAATGGCGGTGATACTGAAGTCTGTCGTACAGGTTCAATGTTTTATATAAAAAATAACAAGGAATTCATATCTCCTACTACTTCTCTGAGTATAGGCTCAATTTTAGATACACCTCGAAAAGTTCACAAAAAAAAAAAAAAGTGAACTCCACAAATGCCGCAGAAGGCTAATTAGCAAAGTTTCACTAATTATTATCCCAAAGGTTTTCTAAGCTTTCATTGCAACAAGGTGTCACCATTGTGGACACGACCTGGACACGGCGGAGCATACGCTCGCTGTCTGCCCCGCGTGGGAGGTGCAGCGCCGTGTCCTGGTCGCAAAGATAGGACCTGACTTGTCCCTGCCTGGCGTCGTGGCGTCGATGCTTGGCAGCGATGAGTCATGGAAGGCTATGCTCGACTTCTGCGAGTGCACCATCTCGCAGAAGGAGGCGGCGGGGCGATGAGGGAAAGCTCTCCTCACTACGCAGAAACCCGCCGCCGCCGAGCAGGGGGTCGGGACCGGGGTCGTATCCGTGACCTGGCCCCCTAAGAGCTAGGAGTCCCACCCGTTTTGTGCGGGGAGAGACCCAGACGGGGGGTGGCGTGCTTTGCACGCTCACCCGCAATAGGAAGCCGGGTGATGGTAGACCGCGTTCCCCCGACCGCTCTGGGGGAAGGTGTAACGCGGCGCCATCAAAGCGGGCTCTCGGCCCGCTGAACGAGGGAACCGGTGGTCGTGTCGCTGGCGGCCACCGGTCCGGCGTCCGTGGGACGGTGGGATGGATGTAATGTGCNCTAACAAATATATGAAAATACAATAATGAGAGAAACGCGCGATCAGTACGAGGCTTTGTGGCGGACTGCCGGCGCAGCAGCCCGGCGCGCATTTCGTGTGACATGCGCATAACGCATTTCGTGTGACATGCTAGTACGATTTTGGTCCCCATAATTTTCATACCCCGGGCCTATATATGTAAATCGATTCTAAAGGAGTAAACTCCAATTACAGATAATTAATTCTTTCAACGAATTACTCTTCGTTATCTGAAAATTTTATTCGTTTGTTTAGTTGTTTCACGGGAGCCCTCTGATGGTCGTATAGACCATTCCGTACTAAACGTTTCGCCACTTCAACGTTAACGGTGGGTCTTTTCTGGCGATCCTTCACTTCCTGCCACTTTAACATTGTAGCTTTTATTCTGAGCAGTTCATCTTTGATGGGATGTTTTGTGGGATCGATGCCTTTTGTTCGTAAATGTATCCAATGTAGTGAATTTAAAGTGTATACAAAAAACAAATCTAGTTCAATCTGAGCTGGTAGTGACATTTTGTCGTAATTTTTCTTCAACGGAAGGAGTTTATCGAGTACTTGTTGTACTTCTATTAAATTCTCTTTCAAATTTTCAACATTGTTCACGAAATCTTTGTCTTTGGCGAGTTCGCCGTATTTAAAGTCCCAATTAAGTTCTTGGCACATTTTACGTTTTAATTATAAACTGTTTTTTCTTTTCTTTAATAATAATTAACCTAACATAAAAATTAATATAGAACGGCATGAACATACGTCACTTGCGTGTGGCCAGGATTTTTTTAAGGGATTTTATGACCTGGTAACTAAAACTTTTAAGTCATGTCTTATTTTAATTTATTTTATTTTTAAATTATGAAAAATGATAAATAGGAGTGAATTGTATTGAAGACATTGATGTATTAAAAAACCCAAGATACAAACTCAGCGTCTCAAAAACGTCCACATAAAATGAGTCATTTCAAATAGTCTCGCGTCGCACGCGTCTCTGGCCGTTTTCCAATTACAGCACAAGAGCGCATTATGCCGCATAATGCGCTCTTGTGCTGTAATTGGAGAACGGCCTGTGTGCGCTCGTCAAAATTGCCGAAGTATTCGTTGAGAAATTGTAAAAATATTACGTTAAGAACGTTAAAAAAGGACGGGATATCGTATATTCGGTAAGTAAAAGAGTTTGTTAATTTGTTTTTGTTGTTTTTATGACTAAATATAGGAAGTATTAAGTGATTTTGATTTAATTTTTCTAAGAACTTCACTCAACGGTTCAAGTATAATACGTCAAATCTCAATGGCCACTTTTTCAGTGTAAGAACTACTATTACAATGCCTTTTATTTTAGTCGCATAATCCGAACGATCTAAAGGAAGTGTTTGGAACCTCTGGGTCTGCGGAGGGACTTCGGTTCCCTCTGTATTTTGTACTGCATGTTCCATGGGGAGTGCTCTGAGGAATTGTTCGAGATGATACCAACGTCTCGTTTTTACCATCGCACCGCCCGGAGTAGAGTTCATCCATAATACCTGGAGCCACTGCGGTCATCCACAGTGCGTTTCCAGAGGTCTTTTTTGCCACGTACCATCCGGCTATGGAATGAGCTCCCCTCCACGGTATTTCCCGAGCGCTATGACATGTCCTTCTTCAAACAAGTGGAGAGTATTAAGCAGTAAGCAGCGACTTGCCTCTGCCCCTGGCATTGCTGAAGTCCATGGGTGACAGTAACCACTCACCATCAGGTGGGCCGTATGCTCGTCTGTCTACAAGGGCAATAAAAAAAAAGAAATCTTGTTCTTATTCAATGGAGTCGATTTTTTTTATTGTGTTTAAAGTTTTAATTAATAAGTTTATGCACTTTTTTTTTTGTATTTAGTTTTGAATAACTATTCATACGATAGTTTTATTAATTATAATAATAATATAGTTCTTAATCGAATTCCAGAAGGAAAAGAGGTCGTCCATACGACGTCATTTTTAATGTTCGTAAATATGATATTATTATATCAATTACATGGGACAACTTATGGCTTCGCGACATACTGCATGCTAATGACAGAAGTGTCGCTCTGGCCCAACACGTCACATTGTTAAAACTTAAAAATTTCACTTCTGTCGGCAGTTTTCATGACTGCCTAGTTTTTTATGACACTTTTTTTTATTTTAAGAAGAAGGTTGATTTCGATTTTTGTAGGTAATTTAAGTATCGGGTATAAATTACGGGTGGCTATTGAACAAGACGAGTTGTTTTATTTGCATGTTTTATTTGTAATTTTCATATTTTAGTTTTCCTCGTAATCCAATACGATGCGGAGAATGGACATCAATCGTCAGTCAACAAAGATATACCAGATAATGGCGGTGATACTGAAGTATGTCGTACAGGTTCAATGTTTTATTTAGAAAATAACAAGGAATTCATATCTCCTACTACTTCTCTGAGTATAGGCTCAATTTTAGATACACCTCGAAAAGTTCACAGAAAAAGTGAACTCCACAAATGCCGCAGAAGGCTAATTAGCAAAGTTTCACTAATTATTATCCCAAAGGTTTTCTAAGCTTTCATTGCAATAAACTCTGTTCCATCGAATACGAATGATGACAGAACTGCCGCTCAGCCATCCCTGGCGCCGCGGCGACGACGCCTTCTAAATTAAATAGGATTGATGCTACATTATCTGATATTTCCTTTGCCTTTAAATAAATAATCGAGTAAAAATCATATAGGGTCTCTGGTCCCAGACGGACTAGTATACATACCTACCTACAGTACCTACATTACTTCTTGCACATATTTGCCCGAAATGGGAATCGACCCCGTAACTCTCGACCAAGGCTGTTTACTACCGTGTTACTCAATACCATTTTTAATTTTTTTGTATTTTGTATTTTTTTTTATTTTTCTACAATATTTTTTCTACATTTTGTATTTTTCTACAATCGCAAATGCGCTAGTAAATTGCAAATTGTTGAGCCTCCACCAATCACTCACGCGGCCGCCAACCACTTAGATGATATTATTATGTTCCTCATTTAATTATATCTATTATTAAATTTTTATAGTCTACGTACATATTTATAAGACTAATCACGCTTTTGATAATAGCCTATTTTACTGCCAATAAGACTCTTGTATCGACTATCGGCTTAAAATGAAATAAATTGTTAAGGAGCACACTCCAATAAACTTAGAAAACCATTGAGATTTTATTGTAATTTAGTTTTATTTGAAATACAAACAATAAATTTCGTTAGTGACAATATCACGTGTAAGTAAAATTTTCAATTTAGTAATCATTACTATTGTTCAATACATTGTTTATTCAATACGATACACATATTATTAACCCTATTTCTATGACAATTACAGTTAGATAATAGCACATCAATCATCCAGATATTCAAAAGGCTCTGGGGGTTCAGGCTCCTTCTCTTCCTCTGCCTTCGGGCCGAATGCGGCAACCGGCTCAACCAGGACTTGTTCTCCTTCACCGGTGTGGTTCAACATGACGATACCTCCAATAGTGATATCCTTTAAAGGAGTGAAACCTGAACCCTCGACAATAGTTAAATTCTTCAATTGCTGTCTCATCACTCTGGCAGGATTACTCAAGATTTCAAACGTCGGTTCTGGTTCTTTCTTTTCTTTAGCTTCCTTGTCCTCTGCTTCTTTTTCGTCTTTCTTAGCATCTTTAGGAGCATCTTTATCGGATTTACTATGAACTGTGATATTAGGAGATTTAGAGGGCTTTTTCTCTTCCTCATCAACTTCCATTTTAGAAGTTGTAGATGAAGTGACACTGCTCGCCGAACCATCAGTTCCGTGCGCCCTTCTACGAGCTTTAGCAGCTGCAATACTTAGCACAGCAGTGGTAACCCTCTCTCTTTCCTCACGTTTCTTTTCTTCCAACGGAGCTGGATACGCGTAAAGCGAGGGCTTAGAGTTGGACTTCAGTTCCAATTGAGGCATTTTAAGATCGGAGTTAAGTGAAATAATACACGTTGGTGTGAAGGCAAGCGATAAGCAATGTGCAAGTGGGAACCAATACCAGTACTGGGTAAATACCAGCATACCAACGACTGCAAGCATATTCATGTGCCCAGTTCTATTTTGGAGTGAAACGGTAACATTACGGCCGCCAGCGTCGATAATACCTTGAGCTAAAATTGCTCCGAACTTCGCCATAACATCTTCGTGTTTGTTTGAAATAACTTGTGCGTACAGTTGACGGAAATAAGTTACTTTCGGACATAACGCTTCGGTTTGCTGTATGAGAATCATGGCTGAAGCGATTAGTGCGCCTTGCCTCACAAAGTTAACAGGATCGAATTTAACCATTGGTTCCAAAAGTCCAATGGCATCACGATTCCCAGTACCAGCGCAGGCAATACCCAGAGCCATGGCGGCGCCGTAACGAACATGAGGATTGTACGATTCAGCCAGCAGAGACACTACTGAGGGACATTGTTCTGGGGTTCTAAATAACAAAAATCCTAAAGCTGTCACAGCTGCCCTACGAACATCATCATTAACATCTGATACTGCTACATGAAGCAAAGTCCTGATGGAATCATTGTTGCCGGTGCCACAATAAGCAGTTGCTATAGTGTAGCAACCAGCACGTCGCAATAATGGATCTTTGTCTCTCAACAGTTGCTGAACCAGAGCATCAGCCTCTTCTAATCTTCCATACATGGTAAAAGCAATGCCAACAGCAAGGCCTCTCAAGATCTTTTCATGCTGTGTTTCTTGTGCATAGGCAACCATATCTTCTATGGCAGCAGCATGTCTAGAACCTAGCATGACCATACCCATAGCAATACCTGCTGCTTCTCCTGTGACAGCATCATCTTGATACAGATTAAATTTGAGCTGTTCATAAACATCCTGTCTATGTGTGCCCATGGCAGCTAAGCCCAGACCCAGGCAGCCTCCATGTCTTACCATCTCATTCTGTGCATCTTTAAGCTGAGTTAAAAGATAATCAATGATGTTTGCTCCATGGTTAGCATGGATCAAACCTAAGGCATAGAGACCACCTCCTTCTGAATAACCAGAAGATGGCCCTGCCTCTTTTGGCAGATATGATTGCATGAGAGCTAAGGATTCATTCTCGTGACCCCTATGTATTACTCCTAGAGAAGCTGTAACAGTTAACTTAGCCCAATTTGTAGCTCTCGCAAGCCACTCCAAGTTGTCCCTAAGAAACTGATCACTGGTTGTACCTGCATGCATAAACGCATTGGCTATTACTGTCGCCGTGTGGCAGATAGATACCCTTATAGCATCTTTGGTGTTCTTTAAGATGAGCATATCGGCATGGTTAGATCTGATTAAGAACTGAAGTTGGAGGCCTATAGATACATCTCCTCCTAATATGGAAATCAATTTTTCAACTCTTTTTTGATGCTCTTTCTCTTCATCACTTAGACTGTCAATGTCTCTCTCTGGCTTTTTGGTTTCTTCAGTTGCTGCTTGGTCAACTTCCATTGACGATTCTGGGAAAGGTCCACCTTGAGGTTGTGGTTTGCCACCTAAGGCACTAGGAATAGGTGCTGTACACCTAAGAGCCTGTAAGACTCTGCCCAAGAACTGTTGAGTTGCTGAGTCATACAAATCAAAGGCTATTTGATATGCCATTAATACGGACTCTTGTGGTCCATGTGTTAGCTTGTCAAGGATCTCTGCTACAGCTAGTGGATCTTCCAAGAAGATAAGACACTGGCACATATTTACATAATCAGGAACATTGAGGCCCTTATATAAAGTCACTAAGGAGCGGAGTACAGTACTGCGGAAGCCCTTATTTTGGAGGAGACTCATTGCTACTGTGAAAGCGTACTGAAGCATTCCTGGAACAAACAAATAAAATAAAAGTTTGTTTAAAAGGTATGAATTATTTATATTAACTAATAAAACAAAGTAACACAATATTGATAGTATTTTATATCTGGAAGCTCTTACAAAGTGTACAGTATAGTATAATTTTAGGGGCTCCGACTTCCCCATACAACTAAACCCTTATCAGCCTTTGTGGGTTCAGTCAAAACTATTCACTTCACTTATTTTTCACTTCAAATAATGCTTACTTTACAATAAGCTTCAGAATAAATTCAGATATGCAGTCTATCTGACGGTGAAAGTTCAATGTTGCCAATTTCTACAGCAAGTGTTTTAGTTTGAAGGATATAATTTAAGAATAGGTATAATTTATGTAATTAAGAATTCAATGTAGAGATTAGCATAGGTCTTATTATTGTCTTTAAAGGTCTCCTGTTGTTCCATTGAATCTAATAGGCAATGAGCTCATCTGCCAACCATACTATTTGTACCAATTAAGTATTGATGACTGAAATGATTTTTTTAATGATGCATTATATATTTTTTAATCTGACGTTTCCTACGTTTTTTGGTCATTGGAAATGTAATAATTTTTAGATGACATTTTGTTGTACTGTTCTTGATAATCATTTTATGAAGTAATTCCCATTCTAGTTTTTTTAGTATTCACAAATTAAATACTAATCATGTAGACACATATCTCGAATTGGCTGAGGGTCTTCCTAATCCTTCCTAATCCAACCAGGATTAAAAGACAAAACAGTCTAATCAACAAGAACTACGTTAAAATGTTGAGATTGATCTTACCTGGTATATCATCAGATTTCATAATAGACTCCTCGAAAATATCCATACGGCGCGTCTCCAATGCTAAGCCAAGCGCTTGTCTGTATTGTCCATCTTCAAGGCACCTCTGGAACATGCGATTCACGATGTCTTCAAGACGGTGATCAATTAGTTCAGCAGAACTATCCACAAAGAGAGCCTTTCTCTTTTGAGTGTAAAAGTCGATAGCTTTTGCGATCGTAGTGTCGACATATTCGTTTCTCGCGTTCACGTCGAAAAGATCTCCAGCCCCGAGCGCGTATGTCAAAGAATCTTCAAATGCTCCTAAATGGTAGTACACTTTACTGGCTACTAATGCGGCTAGCTGATGCTGGGAGAAAATTTTGTCTTCGTGCAGGATTTCTATTTTCTCGATAGATTCAGATATTTCTGGCCAAAANTTTGCGATCGTAGTGTCGACATATTCGTTTCTCGCGTTCACGTCGAAAAGATCTCCAGCCCCGAGCGCGTATGTCAAAGAATCTTCAAATGCTCCTAAATGGTAGTACACTTTACTGGCTACTAATGCGGCTAGCTGATGCTGGGAGAAAATTTTGTCTTCGTGCAGGATTTCTATTTTCTCGATAGATTCAGATATTTCTGGCCAAAATTCATCGACGATGTTGTCCAACCTCTTCAGAGCGAATTCTTTAACTTCAGACATGGGCTCATCGAGCAGGGAAATAATCCCCGCGGCAGACGTGATGTTCATTTTTCTTCGTTATTTTATTTAACTTATTTAAAATGGGTTCGCTGTCTTTTTATTACAACTTTTCTTTTAAACCACTGTACTTTAATTACTAATCACAAAACATTGAGCTAGATTGGATGATTTGACAATTTCGTTTGCTTTGATCATAGATATTTTTATTTCATTTAATGATCTTTATCGGGCAAAGGATCCCCTTTGCTTGTGGTTACAAAATTCCAGTGATTTTAGGTATACGAAGCCACCGAAGGTGCAACTTTATTCTCTGTGACGTATTAATAACAATTCAACCCAGACCTTCTATCTAGACCATCAAATTAATTACTAATAGAGTCAAAACGTTACACTAAAAGCATTTCAACGGAAACGGACACAAATTAAATTATTCCAATCGTATTTGTTGTGTTTTTTAAAAATTATCGCCTAATATTGCATTGTAACGTTAAATTTTGAATTATACTTATAAATTTAAGCTTTTGCTTTGGTTGTCTTGTGTATCGTTTTAATTATGAGTTGAAAAAAATATTTTGTGCAAGTAGCACGTTTGCAACTGTCACGTTACATAATTGAGATTTTGGAAGAAATTGCTATACTATTTAATCTTCACTAAGGGTATGGTAAAACTATGAATTTGTTGCGTGCAAATGTGTTCCAGCCTTCATCGCTGTCAAAAGACAAATTAAAAAAAGAAATATTTTTCTATTGCCATTGTAAAGAAACAAGCATATCTATCTATCGACTATTCTGATGGTGGAGGATCATCATCCTTTATGGACGTACCTTGTTCATAAGGACCATTGAGACAATGGAATGACGATCCTCTCGACCCTCTCCGTGTTTTCGACCAATGCTTTGCGGATTTTTTTAAAGATTAAGTCGTTCATTCATATTAGTTAGAAGATTTCTATGCGTCTACATTGCGCCTCCAATAGTCTCCATAGACCTTTTGTTCCACATACGATTCAGTTTTGAAATGAATTTACTGCAGAGCTACGGTGTCTTATAGCCTTCAGAGCCTTCAGCGGTATGCAACTGCTCATCTAGGCTCATGTTTTTTTAAAGATGAGATACGATATTGAAACGATCGTGTCTCTAACTAACTAGTCTGTGCAGATGATTACGTGTCGTATGGAAGTACGTAGGGTAAAACGAAACATCCACATCTATCTCACGTCTCACAGTAGTCTATGAAAACATCCAACATCTGTGTCGTAGTACATAAACGAGAATAAAACTGTTTATTATTTGTAGAACTTCATAAACGTAATCAAAATGTTAGATTTATTCAGTATTTTCAGTAAAGGGGGCATTGTATTATGGTGTTTCCAAAGTACTAGTGAAATATTTTCGCCATCCGTGAATGCTTTAATACGTAGTGTAATATTGCAAGTGAGTACTGATAAGTTGGGTCTTGTTTTAATCTAATTTGTATTCGTCAAAAGCAACGTGGAAAATTAGCATAATGAAATCTACAAATTTGTCTAATTTTTTTATGATTTCATTGAACATTAGAATGTTTTATGCTCCGTTTTTATCACACTCGAAGGAAATTATTTATAACTTAGTCTTCTCGTTAAGGAAAATCATGAAAATGACACATTAGCAACAAGTCTTCGTTAATTACATATCTATAATGAATACCTACAATTGTTACATATTTTATACTCAATAAAATATTTTACAAATGTTTTTTTCCCCACAGGAACGCTCTGGCAATAACACATTCAATCATAATGCCTTAACACTACAATACAAACTAGATAATGAGTTTGAACTGGTTTTTGTAGTTGCATACCAACGCATACTCCAGTTATCATATGTGGATAAGTTCCTCAATGATGTCCACTTGGAGTTCAGGGACAAGTACAAGAATGAGCTCCAGACAGGTCCCTGTATCGTTGATTTTAATTTTAAAACTACCTTTGATAAAGTGCTGAAGGAATGTGAAATATGGGGTAAGTATTTCAAAGATGATCATAATTTGCAAGCAATCACAAGAACAGTATTTTTTATAGACAAAATGTTTTTAAAATATGTATTTTGGTGAAGCAAAAAAGTCTGTTGAAGATGTTTTGGCTCAGTAGACAGCCAACCAAATGTTATTCAGAACTTTAATAGATAAAAACTTATCTTTCAGTTGTCTAGAATGTTTCATGCTCTTTATTTATTCAATTCAATGATGCTTATCATTACAGTACTATAATTATGTTCTAGCAAAGTCACAAGCTAAAATTCCAAAACAGATGAGGACTTTTGAGGATTCCCAAAAATCCAAAAAGACTGTTGCATCTATGATCGAACGTAAAGGAGATGAGAAAGGGAAGAAAACTGGTAATTACTGGACTTTTTCTTTTTACAAATATTGTACAGATGTCCTTATAATTAATTTAAATCTTTTGGTATGAGCTTAATTTAAAGTATTTAAGATTAAGTGATATTGGATGGGCTAGAAAGCTTTAGTTGCTTTGAAAGAGATTATTACATTCAGGCTCAGCATTGTTGAGACCTTTGTACTGTGACAACCTTCAATAGAATGAATTAGAGTGAATATATCTCAGATTAATAATATTTTTCTGAGTACACTAATAGTGTTAGAACACATCTCACGCACTTATTTATCATTAAATATTTATAGACTACACATGTGTATAGATTTAGTGATTTGTAAATACTTTTGTATAATTTTGAATAATATGGAAATATTATTTAAAAAATATTAGATATATCTATCTTATCATAGTTACCGAATGGCCTGTGTAATACTTCACCAAATTTTGTATAGTAGAAGAAGTTTCTAGAAAAATTATGATATTTCAGTCAAAATAGTCGAAAGTAAAAATCTTACAAATGGTAAAGCAGAGGAAGTTACAAATAATACATATGATGATGATGTCATCGCTGCAAACAGAGCCAAGCTAGCACAGAAGCTGGCATCGAAAACAAAGAAGGAACCCAAGTGAGTATATTGGACTTTACAGTGTCTGAACTCCTATTTGCATTCTTTTTTATTGCTTAGATGGTTGGACGAGCTCACAGCCCACCTGGTGTTAAGTGCTTACTAGAGCACATAGACATCCACAACGTAAATGCGCCACCCACCTTGAGATATAAGTTCTAAGGTCTCAAGTATAGTTACAACGGCTACCCCACCCTTCAAACTGAAACGCATTACTGCTTCACGGCAGAAATAGGCAGGGTGGTGGTATCCACCCGCGCGGACTCACAAGAGGTCCTATCACCAGTAATTACGCAAATTATAATTTTGCGGGTTTCATTTTTATCACACGATGTTATTCCTTCACCGTGGAAATCAATCGTGAACATTTGTTGAGTACGTATTTCATTAGAAAAGTTGGTACCCGCCCGAGATTCGAACACCGGTGCATCGCTCAACACGAATGTACCGGACGTCTTATCCGTTAGGCCACGACGACTTCAGTATGCATACTCTAAAGTAGTGATGGGCAAACTACGGAACTATTTAATCCGGCCCGCCGAGAGTCCATCCATCCTAAATATTCTAGTCAGCATTTTGGCGCGTAAAATAAAATCTGACGTTTATAATTGAAAATCTTGGAATATTTAATGAAAGCTCCAATTCGTCAGGGGTGTTTTGAGCTTTCATTATCTCATAATTAAATTGCCTTCATTATAATTATCTCGGCAGTCTGTCACAGGTATTAGTTTATTTATTGGAAAAAAACCATTCTTTTCACCTATCTATCACTCACGTCTCACACACCTAACAAAGCGTTATAGTAAAAGGTATTTTGTAAAAAGTTTTAATACAGAATGCATTTTTTCTATAATTCTGGCCCTCCTCTAGAATGTCTTAAACTTTGTGGCCCGCCATTAAAAATATTTGCCCACCACTGCTCTAAAGTAATAATAATTGTTTGAAGGAAATCTCCAAAGAGTCCCCAGAAGGCAGACCGCGTGAAGCAGCCCCGCGTGTGGGAGCTCGGCGGTGACACGCGCGACGTCGCTGTGCTGGACTACAGTACTGACCAACCAGGGGAAGCTGCTACCTTACTGCCGGACACGCAGGTCATTGAACTTTTTAACTTTTAACTTTTGTTTTGTGTAACGTTTTTGTAGTTTTCCCAGTCACCTCGGTACCACCCTTCAAATTGTAATGCAAGTCTGCTTCACACTAGGAATAGCAAGTCCAGTGGTACTTAGATATGCGGGCTCAACCATAATTACACAAAAAAAAAATATATCTTATATGGGTGTGCGAGCTCACAGCCTACCTGGTGTTAAGTGGTTACTGGAGCCCTTAGACATCAACAACATAAATGCGCCACCCACCTTGAGATATAAGTTCTAAGGTCTCAAGTATAGTTACAACAAATTATAAACTTGACTGGTTTCATATTTATTATAATGCAGGATATCCTTGTTTGTGGGAAATGAAATCTAGAATATTTTTAACACTACAAGATAATTACGTTAGGCCACAAACTTTCCATATATCTAGTAATGTACACCACACCACACACTTCAATTTATGAATACACCTTGAATTACGGGGAATTAAAAAAATTTTTACTACAATGTGCATCTTATCCATAGTTGATTGGTCAAATGACTGGTGCCATTCGTGACTTGGAAGTAGAATCCGAGGAGAGCAGCAGTGAGGAAGAGGAGGTAACTTCTCAGCCGACTTCCAAGAAAACTGGAGGAATGTTCAGTTTATTAAAAGGTAACAAGCTTACAAAAGATAACAATTTTTAACCAGACAAGGCCAATGTAGGTTATATTTTTGAGTTAATTTATGTGTATTTCTTATACTGAGAGAGGCCTATGTCTAGCAGTGGACGATTGTGGGCTCATGATGTGTATTTCTTTGGTTGTACATCTACAGCTTATCCTTTTGATGGATATGGATGACATATGAGGTGTCATTAGATTCATCTCAATTTCGGATGTGACATAGGATAATAATTTATTATGGTTTCTATAGAAAAAAATAGAAGAACAATAATTATATGCTGGTTTTTTTAATTTATTTATTTTGTTATTGTTAAACATAGATAGCGTGAATTTAAATATATGATTATTATTGTCGTAAATTCAGCTAAAATGAGGTCGCAGCTATAAAAATAGGCAACTGGGGTAACGCTCTCGGGACTTGTACCGTCTGAGTAATACTTGCACTAGTTAGTATTATCTTATAAAATCCCAGCTATAATAGCGACAATTAAAAAAAATACATGTGTACAATTCACACGTGAAACCTTCAAAAATTAAAATACAATTATCCTAAATGCCAAGTATATGTAAAATTTTGTCATTACTAAATAATTGTAAATCATCTTTTATAGTATGAGGTAGCGCCCTCTGTGAATTGATATTTTAATTTCACGTATAATCCTAAATTAAAATTCACTACAAGAGGTTTCATACACACGTTAGTATTAAAAAATCTCATAGATGGCGCTGTATTAAAAAAAAAACGCTACACAGAACGTCTAATGTGTCCTATCTCATTCTCTCGTCGGTTGAATCCTATACATTTATGTGTTTGTGTCTCTATGGACTTATTTTTTCGTTTCATCGAGTTTGAAATCACAACGATTCTAAAGAAGCTTCACTTCAAAAATAAGAATAAAATATATAAGCCATTAATATAATCAATAAGCCATTAATAAGTCATTTTTCTAAAACGTCAGGTCTAGTCGGTGCAAAAGCATTGTCCGAGGAAACGATGCGACCGGTGTTGGACAAGCTTCGTGATCACCTCATCGGGAAGAACGTCGCCGCTGACATCGCCAATAAGCTCTGTGATAGTGTTGCCATCAAACTAGAGGGGAAGGTCAGTTTCGTGTTATTTTTAATTGCATTCTTTTTTATGTATGGCAATGGGCTTCTTGTGACCCCATTGTTGCCAGTGTCGAATTTATAAAAAAATTCAATTGTCAAATACATACATTCTGTTATATGAAAAATGAAATAATGTGAAATAACATGAAGTTGAATAATTTGAAAAAAATGGGATGACATTAAATGTAACGCGATGAGATGGGATGAAATAAACTCTCAGTAAAATGGTGGTTATTCACGGAGACTTTTTCAGTGGAGTTTTTGTAAGAACCGAGGAATAGAGAGGAGCCATGTCCGGTGGTTTTGTTTCATTTTCTCACATTTCTGAAATTTCGAGCTGCTAAACATTTAAAAAACTACTGTTATTACATGTTTAAATTTAAAGAAACGCTAAATTACTTAAACCATACTTTAAGACAATTTCGTTCCTGGCGTTATAGTCTTTGTAAGCACAGAAGCATATGGCCACCTAAAAGCCTCCAATTAATGAGACCATTAATAATAATTAGTGTCATAGGTGAACTTTTAAGTTAATTATTCTCAGTAAAACGATACTAGGAATATTCATGAAGTAACTATTTGTCAAAAATTTTAAATATGTTGTAACGTTTTTAATACTGTGATTATTTTGTGGCCTTTTGAACAGAGATGTTCAAACTTTGTCCAGACATTTCCTCTTTAAAATAATTTATCTGTTTTATTTGTTTCAAGTAGTTCATAAAGTGAATCTGCTTGGGAAATTAATACATGCGTGTATTTTCTTTCAGGTGCTAGGTACCTTCGACAGTGTTGCCAAGACGGTGAAGGCTACCCTCACCGAGTCCCTCGTGCGGATACTGTCGCCGAAGCGTCGCGTGGACATCCTGCGGGACTGTCTGCACGCCAAGCAGGAGGGCCGGCCCTACGTCATGGCGTTCTGCGGGGTGAGACCTGTGTGGTCTGATATTAGTAGACCGTCATTGTTGACATTACAAGATTTAGACATATTTATATAGTACAATTTTCTTTTGTTGATAACATTGAAGCACCTCGTAAGCTATAAAAAAAGGTCGACAAAGAAGAAAAGTAAAAGTTATTGAACTGTTTTTTTTTGTGCTCATATATGTATATGTATATTAATTTTTAACTTAAAAAAAAAGTTTCTTCAAAAGCTAATTTAACATATGGTAGGTCATACATAGACATATTTCATTGAGGCTGACTTTGTCTTTTCATTATTTTTTTTATTAATAATATTAATCCTCTGATTCTTAATTCAAAGCAATTAGTGTAGGGTGTTTTGTTAGAATTAGTTTAGTAAATAAACAAAACAGTCTTGATTAGTTTTTAGTTGAAGAAATAATGAAGTTACACGTATCTAATCGTTTGCAGGTGAACGGCGTCGGTAAATCGACGAACCTGGCGAAGATCTGCTTCTGGTTGATCGAGAACGATCTGTCGGTGCTGATAGCGGCGTGCGACACGTTCCGCGCCGGCGCCGTGGAGCAGCTGCGCACGCACACGCGACACCTCAACGCGCTGCACCCGCCCGCGCGCCACCACGCACGACACATGGTCACGCTCTACGAGAAGGGATACGGTGAGTACAGCCACGCAAGGGTAGGAACCACCGCCCCGCCTATTTCTGCCGTGAAGCAGTAACGCGTCTCGGTTTGAAGGGTAGGGCTGCCGTTGTAACTATACTGATACCTAAAACTTATATCTCAAGATGAGTGGGGCATTTACGTTGTAGATGTCTATGGGCTCCAGTAACTACTAGTACTACTTAGCGCCAGATGAGCTGTGATCTCGTCCACACATCTAAGCAATAAAAAAAAACATTCTAATGATTCCTAAATGAGTTTCCGGTAGTCGCCGAACACCCTCCATGGCCTTCATCACGTGAACGTCATCGGTTATCTTCAGATACAAGATCTAATCCTTAACTCTTTAATACAACGTTTGTTCAACGTGTAAAAGCCGAATTCATAATTATTTCGCCATGTGCACGCCCTCCTACCCCTTCAACTCCCTTCTACCAATACAAATAAAAAAAGAATTATGATGACAAGTAGAATCATTTAATAATTTTTCAGTGATAATCTTAGTATTTTATTGTGAAAAAAAAAAACCAAATTATTTTAATATTACCAAAACTTAACATTAAATATTTTATACATTTATACATTGGAAATTTTATACATGTGGATTAATATTTATAATCTGGCTCAAGTAGGCAGCGGCTTGGCTCTGCCCCTGGCATTGCTGAAGTCCATGGGCGACGGTAACCACTCACCATCAGGTGGGCCGTATGCTCGTCTGCCTACAAGGGCAATAAAAAAAAAAAAAAAAGTACAAGAACTCAATACATATATCATTTTTTATCTGGTAACATTATTCGTAATGATGGCTCTACTTATGACACATAAAACTTTTATTTCTCATTTATTAAGTAATACAATGTTGTTCTACAGGCAAAGACGCGGCCGGCATAGCGATGGAAGCGATACGATACGCGTCTGACACTAAAACCGACGTAGTGCTGATCGACACCGCGGGCCGAATGCAGGACAACGAGCCTCTGATGCGGGCCCTCGCCAAGCTCATCGCGGTCAACGAACCCGACACGGTGCTCTTCGTGGGCGAGGCTCTCGTCGGGAACGAGGCCGTCGACCAGCTGGTCAAGTTCAATCAGGCCCTCGCCGACTACAGCTCGTCCAGCAGTCCGCACGTCATCGACGGAATAGTGCTCACCAAGTTCGATACTATCGACGATAAAGTCGGCGCCGCCATATCGATGACGTACATCACCGGGCAACCGATAGTGTTCGTCGGAACGGGACAAACGTACACCGATTTGAAAGCGCTGAACGCCAACGCTGTAGTCCACGCGTTGATGAAGTGAACTTATAGTGCTGTGCGCTGTTATTATCGATAATTAATAGTCGATTTTTTTTTGTCACAAAATCGTTGTAATCGGATCTTAAAATTTTTAATGTAAGCACGCTTCGAATTGGAATTAACACAAAATCATAACTTGTCTTTATCATTTAGAATAGGTATTTGGTGTGCTTATTTGAAGAAAAAATAGGTAGTTTAATGTTTAATATGATGTTCTAAATACATTACATATGAGTACAACAAAGGATTAATTATAATATATCAATTGAAATAGATAGGATATTTTGGATAATAAATTTTCCAATGTCTTAAGGTGAACGTCATAAGAAAGAAATTAATTGATTTAATAAACAGCTCCTAAATATTTAGCTTATTAAGAAGCAAGTTGGACTTAGTTTGCTAGTAAAGTAGGCATTATTATTTGTATCTCGAATTCGAATAAGCAGCGCACTGCCCTAATAAGACCAACAACTATAAGGCAATTACTTTTAAAATGTTATCTTTCAAAGCCAATTATTTACACTCTAACTTCGATAAAATAAACATAAGGTCTTGTTTTTTTTTTTCAATACGGCAATGGTGTATTTTATTTTTTTCTTGAAATAAATATTTTTTATAGTATATTTTTTATTTAATTTTCATTTTGTTTACACGTTAGATTTTTATTATTGTTTTGTTTTAGTTTATTACAATACAAAACTATTTATTGATATTCAATTTACTGATAGTAGGTAGTTGTTTTTCAATGTTTTAAGTGATTTTGGAACAAAGGCATGTAATGCTTTTCTGCAGTCACATTTAAAGGATAAAAACAAGCATTTTTTTTAATTAGAATATTTAACCAAACTCTAGTTTTTAAACCTACATGTAATTTATGAAAACATCGAATATTGACGTAAATATTAATCTAACAGTCTTAGTTAATAATATTAATGACATCTAAACACAATTATGCTATTTCGTGCGTTTTCATCACCACTCATATTTCCTGTTATTTTCTCAAAATTTTCTTCTTAGTCGTTACATTCTTGATAGAGTTCTCGTGGTGGTCCTGTAGCACTGAATAGGGTAGATTTTGTTTCCAACCAAACGCAATTTAAAATTTACATGATTTCTCCTTACATAGGTACTTACTAATTTTAAATCTAAATTTAAATCTTTCCATTGTTTATTCGCGAGCGGCCTGTACTAGTGTTTTATTACGGCCTCTGCCTTTTTCATCGGAGATCGGAAAAAATATGTTTGTCTTATGAGCGAATTATAAATGAGCGCCAAAATTACGAAAGCACCGCATCCCCTGAATCAGTATTTGATATTATAAATCATCTAGAACAGCTTAATAAAATATACATAATGAAAATAAGATAGTAGATTATAATGTTAGTTAATGACAATGTATTTAAGAACATTCAAGTGCCTTAAGAATTCTGACACCAAAACTTTGCTCATGAAAACTATTAAACTCAGCACAGCGTGAAGATGCCTCGGACCTTCGACAGGTTCAGAAATGGGTCACATATAGTATGAATATATTATGAAATTATGAATATGCTTGCCGTGTTCCAAAAGGTATATTATTTATAAATGAAATGTTTGTGGGGAAGGCAATTAAATTTCGGAGAAAATTATGCCATTAATATCTTTCTTTGTCAACGGATGGCAAACCAGCGGAAGATTTGAATTTATTTAATATTGCTTCGTTTAAATAGCCAGCCCTTAAACTGACAACTTCGTGGTCACTTGCTAATAACACTGTGCAAGCAAATTGGCTTAGTTTTTAGAAGAGACAAAACAACTGAATCTATACTAATATATAAATCTACAGTGGTTTTTACGGATGTTCCGTTATAACTACTGAACCATGCATCCGATTGACTTGAAACTTGATATACATGTACTTAATGGATAGGCTAATATTTATATGAGTGCCCCTCCCTACATCAGTTGTGGGGGGTTTAAAGATGAGAATGTTTGTGGGGGTAAGAAATAATAATGTTAATTTTAAATGCCCAGCGAAGCGGTCGGTTACAGCTAGTATCTTCTAAGTTTCTTATCAGATTTGTGTGACGCTCGAACAAATCTGGTATATGATAAGTTATATTACCTATTGATGGATAATATCTTTATAAGACATTAAGTTTTTGACGAGATTAGTTAAGCGATGATAATATTTACTTAAAATTAAGATGACGATGAGAACTAAAGTGACTTAATTCAGTCTTAAGTGGTTACGAATAAATTCATGAAATGTATTCAAAAAGCGTTTTATACAAGTCGACTTTAATTCAAAACCAAACCGATGTATTGTACATTACTAATGTATTAATGTAAAGTGTGCAGAACCAGAATATAAATTACCATTTTAAAATGCATTAAAGATGAAATATACCATAAAATGGGTATGATAGCATGAGAAATACCAGGTGTACCGCGATAAACGAATTAATAAAACTGTCAAAATTATTGACAATCTTGTGAGAGAATTTCTTAAATTTATTTTCTTTTCCTATTTAACCAGTAGAACCCGCTCCATTTTGAATATCGGCTAATTGTGTGAATAACATTGATTTGTTGATACTACAAACGCGCCACCTGTGATACAGTAGTGGTATTAATGAAAATTTATTTATTATAAAAAAAAAGAACACAATATTCCTAACCCAAAAGTACATGTTATTATCCGCAACATGCTTCGTCAGATTACAAACTTAAATTTAATTCTTAAAATTAATTCTTAAAACTCATAAAAAAAGGAAAGATGGTTTAATTAAATTATTAGTTTAATGCTGGCTAATTTTCGGGTGATGTGCATTTTTAATTGAATCTTCGCGTCCGTAGGCGGAGTATTTTGAGAAATAAGAAAAATATTGATCGTTATTGCTTAATAATTTAATACCTCTACATAGTTTAAGTTTTGATTTGGTAAAATTTTACACGGTCATTAAATGAGTTTTGAAAATTTCTGTTTTTATTTTGAATATTATTATATGAATATTATACTCTGATATACACCGGGTATCCTACAAAGGGTATGTCAAGCCAAAAACTGTAGATAGTATTCTATTAGAATAAACGATTTGATGAAAAAAAAAGTTCTCAAGTGAATAGTTTCGGACTAGAGTTTTTCTACATAGGTAATTTTTTTTCTTTTTTTTTTCTTTATTAGAGCCATACACTTCTACATAGGTAATGAACAAACAATTCTTCTGCCAACCCTTGAATTACGTTTTATCAAAGTGCCGTCATATGATTCGTAATAAAAAATAAGGTTGGCCACATATCAAAAGATGTGAATTTGTTTTTATGTTTTTTTAATTATTAGATGGGTGGTCCTATTCACGATCCCCCCGGCGTTAGGTGGGTACCCACCCTTCGCATCGACACACATTACTGCTTCACGACAGAAATAAACAAGCTAGTAGTAGGTACTTACCCGTGCGGGCTCACAAGACGCCCTAGCATCAGTAAGTACCATCAGGAAGTAAACGTAATAATACTAGGCTTATGAATTGAGTGCGCACAATGAAAATGTCTTCTTCCGCTAAATAGGCACTGTCGATCCACGAGCCAGTTTAAGAATGTGTGATTCTAGGGGCACAACACAGTGGCTACCAAACCAAATTTATGTATGCTATGTATTATAGCCGGAAACACTAGTCGTACCATAGTTCCTTAGGAACGTGGATCTCCATGATGACCTGGAACTTCACTCAGTCAGTCTACAGTCGGCATCATTGCGCCACTTTGAGAAGGCGGCATGACATGAGAACCCTCTTGTCGTGGCTGCTGGAAACTACATACCCAATCCTGTAGACCGAATGGTAAACAGTCGACGTCGCCCAAAACACGTCATTACGGATCCTCCCGATCCATTAACGGTGCTTTTATGTACCACAAGCACCGGTCACCGTCCTCGTCGAACCCGTCGCTTGCTACGAAGGGCTCGACGAGCGAATTAACCCATAGACACAGCCCACTGAGTTTCTCACCGGATCTTTTCAGTAGGTCGCGTTTCCGATCTGGTGGTAGATTCTGCGAAGCACTGCTCTTGCTAGGGCCAGTGTTAGCAGCACTCCGGTTTGAGCCCCGTGAGCTCACCTACATTGTTAGGGTGAAGCTGAAAAGCCTCTCAAGGCTATTAGCATAGGTAGAAAAAAAAAAAAACTAGTATCGGGTGACGCGATCATGCCGGGGCTCAAAATCGTAAACGGAAGTGTTCACGAACGATTTTCATGATGAACATTTTATTTTTTTATTGCTTAGATGTGTGGACGAGCTCACAGCCCACCTGGTGTTAAGTGGTTACTGGAGTCCATAGACATCTACAACAAAAATGCGCCACCCACCTTGAGATGTAAGTTCGAAGGTCTCAGTATAGTTACAACGGCTGCCCCACCCTTCAAATCGAAACGCATTACTGCTTCACGGCAGAAATAGGCAGGGTGGTGGTACCTACCCGCGCGGACTCTCAAGAGGTCCTACCACCAGTAAACATCGTAAGTATTTAATATAAAATCGTAAAACGTAATCCGAAATATTTATGAATATTCGTCATGGTTTGTGGTAGGCTGTTGTCTTCTCTGTACACCATAAATGCTTATTTTGGCCGCGAACCAAATGAATTCCAAATGTCGCAGAGTACCGTAGCATTCGCGCGGCAATTTCAAAAATTAATACCTACCCGTTTTGCTCTTTACTGCTAATTTACTTAGCTTTGATTAAATTTCTAAGTAAACGAATGTATGCATGTATGAATTTCAAACGTTTCATTGTACCAAACGGTCGAGGACACGTATTTATGACTTTCCACAAATGAACTGCGTCCTAATTAATGCCGTAATTTAGATATATTTTTAATGAAATTGTCCACTATTCTCATAATTGCGTAGACGCGTGTTGGGAGAACAAAAAAATTACAACATGGACGAGCCGTTTCAGTGTGTGAAATCATTTTTGCTTAATTTCAAATTGAACAACTGCTGTTATTTTGCCTCGGTCAAGATTGGTTTGTTGCTGACCGCATATTTCAATGTCATTTATGACGTAAGTACTCACTTTCTTTTCTTATTTTTTTTTAATAAAACTACGTACAATCTTTAATTGTCGTAGCGTAACGAATAACAAAAAAGAAAGAGAAGATTATGATAACCAAAAATATATAACGACGGAAGAAAGCGGAATTGTCGTAATTTGAAAAACCTAACTTTAAAAACTATTTCAAAAATTCATAACGCTTCACGGCAGAAATAGACAGGGTGGTGGTACTACCTGTGCGGACTCACAAGAGGTCCTATCACCAGTAATTACGCTAATTATAATTTTGCGGGTTTGATTTTTATTACACCATGTTATTCCTTCAACGTGGAAGTCAATCGTGAGCATTTGTTAAGTACGTCTTTCATTAGAAAAATTGGTACCCGCTCGCAGGATTCGAACACCGGTGCATCGCTCAACACGAATGCACCGGACGTCTTATCCATTAGGCCACGACGACTTCAAAATTCTGATTATATCACTTAAACCAAAAAGCCGTTCGTTCACCCTTCGATATGCTAATGAGATTCAAGTCGTATGTCTTATGTGACGACAACGATCATCTCCACTTGATTATAGACCAGATGACCACTTCGCAGACCTCTGCTTGGCGGACTACGCGTTCTTCTGCCTTCTCCTCCTTCAGTCGATCGCTCATTGCTGAGCATCGTGATGCGCCCTTTGACCTTTGCCCGTGACCTTTTTTGTAATTTGTAGCTACTTATGTCCAGATACTCAGACACTTGGTCACTCCATCTTTTTCGGCTCCGACCTCTGGATCTCGTGCGGACTCACAAGAGGTCCTACCACCAGTCAAGAGGTCCTACCACCAGTCAAGAGGTCCTACCACCAGTCAAGAGGTCCTACCACCAGACATTTTGTGGATAGCCTGTCGTTAACTTTTAGCTCTTTCCTCTGCTTAGTTCTGCCAATAAAACCATTGTTCCAGATATCATCTATAATAGGAATCAGCGACGAAAGTTATTCTCCCATCATAAAGCTAGTTGAGGACAGTCTCCTTGAGGACAACGCAACAAAACCAGTTCCTATTTTGTGCTACTCGACAGAGCTGGCTTTCAATGTTATATTACTATGTGCAGTGTACAGAGTAAGTATAGCATCGATACTATACTTTTTTATGCTTACCCACTGCTAGTCACTTCTTCTTTTTTTCCTACCTAAGCTGATAGCCTTGAGAGGTTATTTCAGCGTAACCGTGCTTAAACCGGATGCTAGCACTGACCCTAGCAAGAGCAGTGTTTCGCAGTATCTACCACCGGATCGGAAACGCGACCCTCTGAGAAGATCCGGCGAGAAGCTCAGTGGGCTGTGTCTATGGGTTAATTCGCTCGTCGAGCCCTTCGTCGCAAGTGACGAGTTCAACGAGGACGGTGACTGGTGCTTGTGGTACCTAAAAGCTCCGTTAATGGATCGGGAGGATCCGTAATGACATGTTTTGGGCGACTGTCGACTGTTTACCATTCGGTCTACAGGATCTGATCAATGCTTGGATATAAATAACCAATAAAACTCAATGACATTGTTTTTTTTATTGTTTAAATTGGTGGACGAGCTCACAGCATACCTGGTGCTAAGTGGTTACTGGAGTCCATAGACGTCTACAACGTAAATGCGCCACCCACCTTGAGATATAAGTTCTAAGGTATCTGTATAGTTACAACGGCTGCCCCACCCTTCAAACCGAAACGCATTACTGCTTCACGCCAGAAACAGGCGGAGCTACCTACCCGTGCGGACTCACAAGAGGTCCTACCACCAGTAAAGGTAATAACTCTTACTAGTGAAAAAGCATACTGTGAGCTGACATATACGTACATACATACGTATATGCTCCGTACACACATATTTATTCGGTTTAAAGTGTTATACAATAAAACTGAGATCCCGACCTAAAGTCTCGAAGCGCTTATAGGCTCTGTTAGGCACCTATGTAATGACCTAATAAAATTAAGTTTGCTATTTCATGCTTCTACGTTTTAACTTCCAGAAAGATCTTTGCTTGATGACGACATTCGTTTACTTCGGTATCACATCACTCACGACCTCTATACTCATATACTCCGTTGTGATTGTCGCTACCGGTGCCTTCATGAAAATCGCTATTGTTCTTAGCATATGTAAGTGAAATTCTGTTGATATTCTATATGCAAACCCTTCCATTTATTTATCATATCCGCATGAATAGACTAAAATCCACAATATTCAAACATAACTAACCCAGCAGAATTGATTTTTGTAATAAATATTAAATTTGTTACATGTCTCCGTTATGTAAATAATGAATCCCTCCAAAAAGTAACTAATACAAAAAAAAACATCTAAAATCCCTGCACAACTATTTAAATTATGTGCGGCTTTTGCAAGCAAAGCTACTTTGTCTCATTTCATTCTTTAAAATACATTATTTCAATGATAAAGGTAGTCTGTATTTTATAGACATCCTCAAAGATAAATTAAGACACAGACGCCATGACTTGATATGATTTATTTTGTTTGAAAAAACAAAAAACAAAAACATTAAATTTTTTTAATATTTACTATATTAGCGGTAGGCAGCGGCTTGGCTCTGCCCCTGGCATTGTTGAAGTCTATGGGCGCGGGTAACCACTCACCATCAGGTGGGCCGTATGCTCGTCTGCCTACAAGGGCAATAAAAAAAATTAAAAAAAATTAAGAACATTAAATGTTTTCCAGTATTCCAACTATACGTAATACTACTGGTTCGAAGTATGATCGTCGAAATTAAACAAGCAAGGAAGAACGAACTGTTGCCAACAGTAGTGATGAGCTCTCTCCTACGCAATAAACATGCTCTAATAGTACATGATGCCGAAACCCAGGTAGACCAGATTGAGCCAAATGCGTTGGATACTCTAGGATATAACCCACTGGATAATTACAGCGACTCACAACTGAAAAACGTCGTAGAAAAACCTAAAAAAGATAATAGCGTTGATGACATAGAGTTAAGAACTACTACAGATAGAGCATCAGATATGAACGAAAAAATCAAGCCGAGTACTCTTGTAGGAAAACCTATTGGAGAAAATCAAAATATCGCCGAAGCAAAAACAGAAACGAAGAAAGATAAAACATTGGTCCTTCAAAAAGAAGCTAAATTAGAGATCGTTGTTGAAGAACCAAAAGCAAATATCGTCATGACTGATTCAGGGATGAATGAAGAAAAAATATTAATTGATGATAATGAATGTAATGTTGAAACAATTGTTGAGAAGCCCAAGAAGAGAAGATGGTTTATTAGTAAAGCGAAAACGGTAGGAAGAAATGACAAACCGTCGCCTTTAAAAAAAAATAACGAGAAACAATCCAATCTGGAAACAGTCGAAGAAATGCCGAAGATGTAGGAATCTTGATTCAACATTGTGGGAATACGTGTGAAATAAATATTGAAATATATCGTCATTTGAATAAAAAATAGTCCTTTTTATTGTCTGTTACGCAACCAACGCAATAATTGGACAAACAATTATTGACCTTCCCTAAATTAAACAGCTTCCTAATTAATTGTATGTGAACATCATTTTATGAAATTTCAGTGCAATTTTTGCGTATAACTCGGTTAGATAACACGCGTAGTTTTGAAATATAAACACATTTTCGAGATAAATAATGGATTTGCTAATTGATTATTTAAAAAGTTTTAAATTAAATAGGTGTTGTTGTCTATTTTCGGTTCGGACCGGCTTGCTGTTGATCGGCTATTTTAATATTATTTATGATGTAAGTGTATTTTATGAAATTTAATGAAGTTATTTTCTTCATCTATTAATTGATAAAGAAGTATCTCTTAATAATTTTAAATAATTTATTCGAAATACATTTCGTCGATAGGTAATATTTTTTTAATAATTGGGCATTGATTTAAAATAATAAGTTCGAGTAAGGTGCGAGTCTCGTTTTTTTGAAAATTGAGGTCAGAGTAAATATATATTTTTTTAAATATTCGCTGCAGTTTTTTTTTATAATTAATCTAAATGTTATCTATCGTTTTTCATACTGATTACATCAGTGGCACAAATAAAGTAGAGCAGTTGCCTCAAAAAATTGACCGACTATTATGATTAAAAATATATTGTTTTTTTCTATAGAGTATGGCAATAGCAGCTATTTCCGAATTCTTGTATTCACCCATCGTTCAGGAAGTCTTAGATGCGATTACTAAGGAGCAAATGCCATTTCAAAACTCTATTCCAATATTCTGCTATATCACAGAGTTTGGATTCAATGTGGTTTTGCTATGCGCCGTATACAGGGTAAGTGTAGATCGCGTACTTAGTACTGTAAAACTTAATTTGCACTGCTCTTTTAAGTTTAGCAAAAATCGGCTGCGGTTAAAGGTTCAATGTCTTCAAGCCTCAACTTATTCGTTTGCATGTGTAGTTACCGGAAATAGATATGTAAATGTTTATTGTGTTTATTTAGTCACAAAAAGCGTAGATGAAGATGAAGCCAAGCATCCAAATCGTTAAATAAACGGTCTACATATTTCCGTGTAAATTGTTTACGTATTACGATTAGATATTCACAATTGTTTTCGTCAGTTGTTAATTGACAAATAACCCATTTTATTTTAGCTGTTGGAAAGGCGAGCCTGTGGCTAGCACGAGAAATAGTCACGAAGGACTAGCAATCTTAAAAGCACAGAGAGGTCGTTACCAATCATAGAGTATTCTAAAATAGCCTTCTTTTGAAGAAGCACTTGTATCTGCGTTAACACCTCAGAGTTTAATTGTTTGGAAGCATTGCATATTGCATTACAATACACGACTTTTGGAAAACGGACATCAAAGTAAACAATTTCTAGAATTTTTTATCAGTCTAACTAATTGGATTATTGCTTTTGCAGCGTGATTTACATTTGCTGAAAATTTATTTGTACGGCTGTTTCACAATTCTGGTGACGTCAATTCTATTCTACTCTGTAGTAATCGCCGGCTTCGATATGCTGATGGAATTCGTTATTGTCTTCAGTATAAGTAAGTTACTTTTATATTATTTAGTGCATATGTAACAGCAGACGCTGAAATTAAGTCTTCCTCGCCCACAATCAAGACGAATCTGACACCACTTTTGTTCTTCAAGCCTACAGAGCGATCTCTGGAGGTGGAGCCGCATGCCGCCGATTATGCGTAGCTATGCGACCTTCCTGATCCAGCCGGGTATTCTAGGTTACCAGCGGTAGCGTCGGGAGCGGCCCAAAAATCCCGATTTCCACCGCGATCGGAACGGACCCATTAATTACTCCTTTTACTTCGCAATACAAAACTGCATACCAACAACGAGTCGAGTGTAAATGACAACGAGGACGAAAAGAGTAAAAATGAGCTGAGGACTTGGACCGGAGTCGTTAATGAGTCCTTTCAACTCGCAATTGAATTTTACAAAGTACCTAGCGCGAGAGTTCAGCGGAGCGGACCAAACAAGTAACATGTGTCCGCTGCGTCGCGGTTAATGTCGAAATTGTACGACATTATAATTTGTATTGTAATATATCTAGGTACATAATTGTACACTAAAGCTCTTGTGAATAAAAGCAGTAGACAGACGCTTCGCTCTTTTAAAAGGAGAATATATATGGTAAACACTTTGAGGAATGTTTAGGATTATGAAAGCGGTTTTGATGTCAAATAATTTAATGACTCCCACAGCACGTAAATTGTGTTCATTTGTGTTCTCCGTTGGCAGCTTAATAGCTATTAACATTATTAATGACACTAACAACAGTTGACGCCCCCCAAAAGTACCCTTTTCAAACCTATGTACGTTTTTCAGTTTTAGATGTATACGTAATACTGTTGGTGCGAAGTGAGATTCTCGAAATAAAAGAATCTCAGAAGAACGGAGGGATACCTACTCTAGTGATGAGCTCGGGTATGCTAGACGCCCAAGATCCACATGACATTAAGGCTCAGGTCGACTGTAAGGACAAGCCTTCATCAGAAGGAAGACGAGAACAGAAAACTGATAATAAAAAATAAAAATCGGTAGCTTACGAAATTTTTAAGTTAATAAACACATAGTACATAAGTAGTAAAATGATTTTTTTAATACGCTTTTATTAGCTTCAGACGTATGTATGTATGTAACGGAATCTTTGAACATTATTTTGACCCCCTGCAAAACGACGGATTAACTCGGAATTTGGTATACTTATTAAGGACCGATGACAATTCAATATTTAAAAAAATTAAAAAAATTGAAATTCAACTAAAAAATGAAAAGTAAATACTTAAGTTTAAAAAACTAACAAAATACGCTTTTATAGCATGCATGGTATCAGTAGTTAAAATATTTTATGAACAGATATGAGTAGAAGGGTTTTTTTGATAATAGCCTGAAAAGCAACCCACGCTTTTTTACAATAAAATCATTTTTTCTTACACTATTTTTAATTGAAATTTATTAAAATTTACTCTCTATTTTTTAGTTGGATTTTCTATAAAAGCGTATTTTGTTAGTTTTTTTAAACTATTACGTATTTATTTTTCTTCTTCCTAAAACGATGCGATAGTCGGATTTTCTCTGCGACGATTCAATTTTAGTCCTAAAAATACCTTCTCTCTTCTTACCGTTAGGACAATGTCGAAATCAAAGTGAAATATAAATAGTGGTCGTATCATTACTATCTACCGACTGGATTAATCTATCCTTAATGTGAATTGAATAAAACAACCGATCCACATAGATTCTTTTATTTAAAGTATTTACTAGAAATAAAACAATGACCTTATCGATAAGCGAAACAAAACAAAAAAATAACAGAAACATTGGCACATATTGAAAGACTACTAATTCAACTGCATTTTAATTATCAAGTAAAATCGTTTTTTTTTTATTTAAGTGCGATATCCCCATTCGACATTTATTGTGCTTGCTCAAGTGTGAGTTTAAACACAACCACCGCCTGTGTTATTAACAGTGTCAGTCAATTACAGGTAGCTGCAGTATGTACTATATAATAATAATAATATTGTTAATGTATAATTTGAGACTGGCAACTTACCAGCAAACGCAGGTCAGTGGCTAATTTTAAATTAATCGTTTTTTTTATTGACGGTTTGACCTCCCACCGCTGGATCAAAGTCTCAAGACAAAAGTTTTAATTTAAAGTAATAATAAAAAAAAAAAATCCAATGCATACTTTATCGATAGTGCAAGCAAGCACTGAAAAGTCATTATGAAACAAACTTTCGATCGATATTTTTAATATTTTATTCAAATACTTTTTTTTCTTCTCAAAAATATCACGTCACCTCGGAAAAAGACTTACATTTAGATTCAAAGTCAACAATCGCCCTGTAATCATTTGCAATTAGCTCAATACGTATAGCTCATTCTAAAATATCAACTGGCTGATAACAATCTCAATCATCAAATGTTTCAAGGGTCATTTCAAAATGGAGGAAATATCGAATTGCAAAGACTTCCTTCCCATACAGCCAGAAATCTTAGGTTAATAGGTTGTTATGTTTCAATTGAAATTCAAACTGAAATTCTCCAAATTTATGTGACACGAAAACCGTCTCAATGAATATTTTCTTTCCATTCTACTGGAAAACGTGTTCATAAATATGATTATAAAGAAATTTCTTTGACATCACATTTTTAAGTAGCTTCAAGCTAATCGATACATGAGTCGTCTATTATCAAAGGTGGCAATCTGTGCATTTGGAAAAAAAAATGTTATTGATATGTCAATACAGATTGATTTGAATATAATCGTCTCCTTCAAAAAATACGGTTCAAAACCTGCATTAAATAAAGGTTAATACTTAAGCTGTTATTTATCTAAGATGTCGTTCAGAAGAGTTTTGTGACAGCCAATGGAATACAAAGTCAATAATTCGTTTTTCTGATTTACCAATAATTGTCCAAAAGTCACATTGCCGGCTTTGATAATAGTCGACTCACATATAATATGTTTACATTTAAGAAATCTTAACTAAAAATCTAAAAATTTAATCTTATGATATTTCGATCACAAACATACCCATACATACATAAGTAGTTTACAAAACATTAATTATACAATTAATTATAAGACGCATACAGTTTGAAGTTGATAATCAGAAATATATCTTAACAATTAAGCAAGTCATTTTGACTTGAAACCGTCGATAATTTTATTCCGATCAATGCGTAACAACTTGATCAGAGACATCCGCCGAGGTTAAATAGCAAAACAATCCAAAATTGCACTGATCTGTAACTTTAAATATTTGTAATAGTCAAAATAGCTGCGTTAAACCTAGTGAATTTTACACTTTTTAACATCAATCACAATGTGTGACGTCATATGAGGCTATTTGTTGTTTTAATGTACATTCATTTATAACATTCATTGGTATGGTTAGGTTAATTAATGGAGTGGTACCGCTGTTGTCGAAATCGGTTTGGATTGCACCATTATCGTTATTGCTTATTTTCACCCCAAATGACGTCACACAAAATACAGATCAGCGGTATTCAGTTAATAGGGAACTTATTTTTAGAAAAGTTTTAACATTCGGTTCTCTCTTATTGCCACCGTCACATTCATCATTTTGGGTATTTATTTAAGTCTGTATTTGCAATCTCTAATTAGACCTATTTCGCAACTTCTAGGTGCCGAATTGTCATTCTTTTGTGATAAAAATTATATTGAGTCAAAAATATTGTATAGTCTTAACTCTTACGATGTCTCAATTTCAAGTTGCTTTCTGTAGTCGGAGAATCTGATGTTGCGTTTATCTCGCGCGTGACGTCACCGCCCCACACGATCTGTCCTTCCACAGTCCTACATAAGTAATAAACACGCACCAAGAGATTTCTTAGATTAAACGCTAAACATATCTAACAATAGTAATGACAATCGTTCCGTCTCGTTCTGTATCTACTAAATAAGAGCGAGACAAACAATTCTAATATCAATGTGAAACATTACAATATAACTTGACACAGTAATAGACATCGATATGACGTATTTATATTAAATCTAGTGTATCGATAGAGTCATGAATAGAACACAATGGCTATGTTCCGATATGCGCTGCGAGTAGTTGTGACATTAGTTTAGCGAAGCAGTTCTATTATAGTTAGTTATACAGTAAAACATCTTTATTCGTGGGATATACGTTCCGCGAATACAGAAACCGTGAATATGGAAAAGCGCGTTTACATAATATATTCGGATGGATACCTACATATTGGTATCCTTTTTATCAATGTGTATGTACCGATTAAATCCGCGAAAGAAATCTTTAGACGCGAACATAGGAATTGGATCGTATTTTTTTTATTCCGCGACCAATGAAAACGCGAATAAGGAGTTTTTACTGTATTGGTCACTGTTTAAAACGAAACGCAGTACAGCATACCTTTATCGACAATTTTTGGCGTTGTTTTTTTAAACTTATCCAAAACAATATTTAAATTCACCATAGCTATGTTTAAAATTTGAATTTTAATTATCAGTGGAATTGATCGCATAATAAAGCCAACTATACTCTTTACTAAAAACGTTTTTCAAGCAATTTATTGTATAATGACTTAATAACCGAATTATTGAAAAGAGGTTATGCACGGTAAAAGTGATCACGTGATCAAAGCACTGAGAGCGTCTTACTTCGAAAACTCCTGCAGTGTTCACAGTAGAAAAATTACGACCAATTATGGCGTCATTTATTTCCGTCGGATACTACGACTGTAAATTATCAGTCCATAATGGAACGAATTTCTCCACAGTAAGGGCTCTAAGCTGTGCTAGCATGTATATCGAAACATCGCCAATATCAACTACATTAAGATAAAAAAAATGACATTTTGTGTGTGACAGCTGCTCTCGAGTGACAGCTGTCAAACTGTCAAATAATTTTGACAGCGTCAAGATACACATTAACTATGTAATCAGCACGGGAATCTATCAAGTAATACGAGTATTGTGTGTTCGTTCTTTCGTCCAAGCGGCATAGTGGCAGAGTTGAGTATGGTTCGCGTCTCGAAGTGTCCTGTGGTTGAGCAATGTGAAGTCGAACTTCAATTGTTGCTCCTGGTCAGACCACGCCCTGAAAGAAGATAGAAGTTTTGTTAATTTCTAGCATTTCCATGTACAAGTACAAACTGGTTTACAGTCTATCTGATGTTAGGCTGTTCTCACAGGATTATGATATCATGTAATTCCGTCTGAACTGTAATGCGTCTTCGGTTTAAAAATATGGAAGGTATGCTTCTTTTTTTATGTTTGAGAGATTACTGGTGACCCGGAGGCCTTTCCAGTTTTATTAGGACAGGTGGACGGTAAGCTGTGTTCAACTCTATTAATATTAAATGCACCGTGAGTTCTTAACAATCAGTTACATATGAAATGCTGACTTTAAATTAATAATTCATTCCCACTCTGTGTTATATCACTTAGATATTGACATGCAGTATAAAATAGAAATGATACTGAAAAGAGTATATAAGCAGCTGTTGTATTTGAAAAAGGCTTATGAATCAGTTTAGTCTAGTACTGATACAACTTTTTCATAGCTAGAGACGACAATCAACTCGCTTGTTGGTGAGTGATCACCGAGGTCATGGACATCAGTAATACCAGAGAGAATCCGGCTGCTGTCTACCAGTGAGGTTTCTCCTCAAACACCGCTTGGAGAAGGCTATATGGTATAGCTCATATAGCAGTTGTAGGACCTCTTGTGAGTTCGCAAGGGTAGGTACCACCACCCTGCCTATTTCTGCCGTTAAGCGTTTCGGTTTGAAGGGCGGGGCAGCCGTTGTAACTATACTTGAGACCTTAGAACTTATGTCTCGAGGTGGGTGGCGGCATTTACGTTGTAAATGTCTATGGACTCCGGTAACTACTTAACACCAGGTGGGCTGTGAGATCGTCCACCCATCCAAGCACTAAAAAAAATTCAGTCCAGAGCAGAGTGGTGGAAACGATGAACCCAGTCGCGCTGTGGACGAGTCCGGTTTGACAGTGTGCAGTCATCATAATCATCATCAGTCTGCGGCATTCCACTGCTGGACATAGGTCTCCCTCAAAGCTCGTCACTGGACCCGATCTTCGGTTCTACGCATCCAGTCACTGCCAGCCGCCTTGCCCAAGTCATCGCTTCATCTAGCAGGAGGGTAATGGCTCGCGCTTACCTCGGCCGTGCCCCGTGAGCGTCGGGAAGTTAGCCTCCGTCAGTTCGGGAGCCTGCTGAATCCGCTGAGAATCTGCGGAAATTTTATGTTATATTTATTAGTGTCGTTGACATTTAAATAGCATTTGAAAAGTAATAACAACGTTGAAAACGCTAGCACATTTCGTAAATTACACCAGCTGGTGCTACAAAAAACACCGTAAAAAATATAATTAATATCAATTAATTATTATTATAAAAAAAAGTAGGCAGCGGCTTGGCTCTGGCTCTGGCATTGCTGAAGTCCATGGGCGACGGTAACCACTCACCGTCAGGTGGGCCGTGTGCTCGTCTGCCTACAAAGGCAATAAAAAAAAACGCAAAAAATTTGGTCAACCCTAGTAAGTTGTCGTGTCAGGGAAGCACAGAATGATACTCACAGTCGGTACGCGGCATGCGCAGCGGCTTGTGCACCCTCCTGCCCGGCGCCGAGCCCGACGCGGCGGCTGAAAACATTTAGTGTTATATTTACAAAGACTACATCTCTACTTGTATTGTGTTCTTTGTGTGTAAAATAAATTACCAAAAGCGAAAACTTATTTTTTTTTTTATCCTACCTAAGCTTAACTAGCAGGTGAGCTCACGGGGCTCAAACCTGACGTTGCTAGCACGAACCCTAGCAAGAGCCGTGCTTCGCAGAATCTACCACCGGATCGGAAACGCGGCCCATTGAGAAGATCCGGCGAGAAACTCAGTGGGCTGTGTCTGAGGGTTAATTTACTCGTCGCCCTTCGTCGCAAGCGACGGGTTCGACGAGAACGATGACCGGTGCTTGGGATACCTAAAAGCACCGTTAGTGGATCGGGAGGATACGAAATGACGTGAAACCTAATCGCTTGAGCCTCGAAACAATCAAAATAGGCAGCCCTGTACAATTGAGATCCTGGCTGAGTCCTTGTTCGCTCACCTGTCCTGGTGAAACAGGAAAGGTCTCTGGACCACCAGTAAACACACATTAAAAAAAAAAGAATTGAAATTTCATGTTGCAAGGTCGCGGGCAGCTTTTTGTAAAGTCTGTATGCTTCGTTGACGAATTAACTACAAAATAGACTGTGTATTCTTGTCTCCACAAAAAATGTGATTATGACAATAAAGTGATATCAAAGAAAAATCCAGCTGACGATATTTCTCTTCTGAACAACATTTCAATGCTAAAAATTCACAGAGAATCAAACTTGCATCCCATTTTCGTAGTGAATCTTTTATTTAATAACCCGATGACGTCTTTCTAAGCTCTCATTGACGTTTGTGTACTGTGTTGAGTAAATAGTTCTATCTGCTCCACTTTTGCATAATATCGTCCTCATGTATTCCTATGAGGGAAATTTTGAACAGATCTACATCCGAATGAGTACTGTTCGTTGGTTTAGGATCTTCAACGAAAAATATACTATTAATGTAAGCGTTCATTGCGTAAGTTTGTCAAGATTTAAAGCTGTATACGTCACTATAGACGCTAACATAACGCAGTGTAAAAAGTGATGCACATAATTATGTTAATATTAATGTCCCAATAATTGACTATTCGTATCAGACCAAGTGAACGCCCTATCTCGGAAGCTGGATAAAATATAAAATATGACTAACACGAAGCTTAACACCAAGTATTAAAGATAAGCTCTTAATTCAAAAAAAAAATGCATACGCGCATATTTAACAAAAAAATCATCACAATTCACGTGTATTATATTTTAATTGTATTTTTTTTTTCGGTATCGACGTTATTCTATATCTAAATCGATATTCTAATATCGATGTTTTAATTAACTATATGACATCCCTAAACTAGAGCTGAAGGAACCGCGGCCAAGGTCACTGGCGACCGGACCGACGTAATCAGAGCCGGTCATGTATCAATTACGTATATTATTATAGTTTTAATGACGTCATAGCAATGACGGCCGATTGTAAGCACACGAAGGATACTCACTCTCGCCGGTAACGTTCAAGCTTTGAAAAGATTCATTCAAGGAGTCGTATATAAACGATGAGTTGCTCGAGGCGGTGGCCTGAAAATATAAAAACAGTTCCTGAATGATTTAGTACAAGATTAGCGCGTAATGTTTCTTATGGCTTAGATATTTGGACGAGATATTTGGTGGTAGGGTTCTGTGTACTGGTGGTAGGGTTCTGTGTAGAAGCCCGCCCGGGTTGGTACCACCATCTTGTCTATTTCTGTCGCAAAACAGTAATACTGTGTTCCGGTCTGAAGGACAGGATAGCCGGTGTAACTATACTTGAGACCTTAGAGCTTATATCGCAAGGTGGGTGGCGGCATTTACGTCGTAGATACCTATGGGCTCCAGTAACCACTTAGCACCAGGTGGACTGTGAGCTCGTCCACCCATCTAAGCAATAAAAAAATAAAATATTAAAGGGTTTATGACCTTACCGTACGAGGCACAGAGGGAGCGGCTCTCGTCTTCCTTTCTTCTTTAAAAATAAGGATGCCCTGTAATAAAGTAATTTATAATACGTATTTATTTATTGTGGCCTGCCCACTGTCATAAAACGCGAAGATCGGACTGCCGATTGGGCAGAAAGATCCTCGAGTGGAGACCACGTCCTGGCAAGCGCTGTGTGGAATGGTCACCTGCCAGATAGACCAAAAACCTAGTGAGAATCGCTGGGTCATGTTGGATGCAGGTGGCATTGAACATCAGTTGGAAAGACATGTTCAGCAGTGGACAGTGGACGGGCTAAGACGATGTTGATGATTTATTTATTGTAGCGACAGACGAACAATCTTACGATCTATGTGGTGTTAAGTGGTTACCAGAGCCCAGATATCGCAAGGCGGCCACTTTGAGACGTGAGGTCTAAGTCCCAGTTGTATTGTGCGGTCGCTGTCTTAACCAGAGCGCATGTCTACACTGCAAGAGGGTGGACAGAAAGTTGGTATTCTTTTTTTCTATGATAGTAGTGTTACTGTAGTTACTGGTGGCCCAGAGGCCTTTCCAGTTTCACCAGCACAGGTGGGCGAGCAAAGGCTCAGCCAAGAGGGGTAGGATTTGCTAAAAGCTGCCCGAGCGCCTCCGAAGGAGACCTAACAAATCAAGAACAGCTGCTTCGCGAATGAATCTACTACCAGATCGGAATCGCGATCCGCTGAGAAGATCCGGCGAGAAACTCAACTGATCTGATGGATCCGTAAGGACGTGTGGGGGTATATACTTGCGCATACCCAATTTAATATTGCTCGGTAGACCTCGGTCCAAATATAGTTGTTCGGAACTTGTATATAATATGCAAGCATATATAAAAATGTTGTAAGCGAGATTTAGGCATACTTTACCGCCTCATAATTAATAAAGTTGAAAATAATTGGAAAGAGAAAAAGAGGTATTACATATTTTTTTCTGTAATCTTTACTTTTGTATTCATATAATCTCGTGTTACTCATTAGTGAGATCCGTTAAGGTTCTAATGAATTAGTGAGGGTTTTAGTCCACTGTGTTTCTCGCCGGATCTTCTCAGTGGGTCGCGTTTCCGATCCGGTGGTAGATTCTGCGAAGCACGGCTCTTGCTAGGGCAGTGTTAGTAACGCCTTCAGATTAGAGCCCCGTGAGTTCACCTACTACCTCGGTGAATCTAGAATTACCCCTCGAGGTTACTAGAATAGGTAGGGAAAAAAGGCGGTTTCTCATTATCCGTAAGGCATACTAGGCACGTGTCTAAGGGCGTGTAGTTACAAGGGGCGCGCGAGCTCAGAATTTTTAAATAAATTAAGAAAATAACATATCGAATTTCCTGGTCTACTAAATTCTAGTGATTGATGATACAACGTCATCGTAATTGCAAAAACAACTAGTTAAAATATATAGTATTATGATGGTAATTTATGGCCGGTACAGGGGCGCCGATAAAGTGATTGCCTAGGGCGTTCTGGACCTTTGATCCGCCACTGATTGACCGGTACTTACATTGATGTCGTAGTCGAAGGGCAGGTGCTTCCCCGGCTGCAAGGGAATCCCCAGCAGCGGGCAGCAGCGGTCCAGGATCGTGAACACCCAACGTTTGACGCGGGACGTTGTGCAAACGTTGCTTTTGTCCAGCGACTCGTGACGCTGTTGACGACATACATATAAAAAAAATTTTATTGTTTAGATGAGTGGACGAGGTCACAGCCCACCTGGTGTTAAGCAGTCACTGGAGCCCGTAGACATCTACAACGTAAATGCGCCACCCACCTTGAGATATAAGTTCTAAGGTCTCAAATATAGTTACAACGGCTGCCCCACCCTTTAAACCGAAACGCATTACTGCTTCACGGCAGAAATAGGCGGGGTGGTGGTACCTACCCGTGCGGACCCACAACACGTCCTACCACCAGTAAAAATATGTATTTATACCAATATGTTTATGGTCTTAATTATTTAAATATTTGTCCAAATGATGTATAGTAAAAGACAATGTTTATCTACTTTTAATACCAAATGCGATAGTATCTATTTTGATATTACGATCAATTTGTTACTTCCAAGTGTGCGTTTTTGCGGCGCACACCGAATTAGCTCGCAGATGGCAGATTTTTTTCTCACTTACTTGACACTTATAGTTATATTTCGGGTTATTCACACTATATCGTTATAAATTATAACCTATGTGTTATTCTGATATGTAAGCTATATTATTATAAAGTTTCATCAAAATCTATTAAGTAGTTTTTGCGTGAAAGAGCAATAAATATACATCCATGCATTCTTACAAACTTTCGTATTAATATTATTAGTAGGAGAGCAGACAAGAGCAGAGCTCCTTTATTTGTGGTGTAAGCCATTATTAAATAAAAATAAACTAACAACTGATCTGAGATGTTCACTTGTGTTAGTAACGGAGACATTTTGAGAACGATTAAACCAAGACATCTTAACATACCTAAGCTGATAGCCTTGAGAGGCTATTTCAGCGTAACCTTAACTAGTAGGTGAGTTCACGGGGCTCAAACCTGACGACGTTGCTGACACGAGCCCTATCATGAGCAGTGCTTCGCAGAATCTACCACCGGATCGGAACGCGACCCGCTGAAAAGATCCGGCGAGAAACTCAGTGGGCTGTGTCTGTGGGTTAATTTACTCGTCGAACCCTTCGTCTCAAGCTACGGTTTCGACGAGAACGATGACCGGATGCTGACCGACTCTTGTCGGTTCGTTCATACCTCACACGCGATCCCCGGTGTGTAGTCGAACAGGTCCTTGGTCAGCTGCGTGAGCGCCAACGACTCCTTAGGGAAGCCCTCGTCGTGATGACTGCTGATAGCGTTGATCAGAGTGAAGAAAAACGTGTCTAGTTTGTATATACGGAACAGCGAGTCGTCTTCGGCTGAAACAAAACGTAACTTCTAATTAGTTTTAGTGCATCGCTACACTCTCGCTCGTTCTGCTGATAATCAATTCAAATTCAAAATCATTTATTTCAACTTAGATGTCAGTATGACACACTTGTTGAATGTCAAAATACAAATAACAATGTTAACTCTACCACCGGTTCCAAAAAAAGCTACAGTCCTGAGAAGAACCGGCGAAACAAACTCAGCGGGCTTTTTTTTTTGTTTTTTCTCAAATATTTTCTTTTTTTTAAATAAATAAAAATATTTACAATAAAGGAAAAAACAAGTCAAAAAATAAAATTAAAAAAATAATAGATTGTGTCACTCATTTAGCCCGCTTAGTTTCTCGCCGGATCTTCTCAGCGGGTCGCGATTCCGATCCGGTAGTAGATTCATTTGCGAAGCAGCTGCTCTTGAGTTGTTAGGTCTCCTTCGGAGGCGCTCGGGCAGCTGCTAGCAAATCCCACCCCTCCTGACTGAGCTTTGCTCGCTCACCTGTTTTGGTGAAACTGGAAAGGCCTTCGGGCCACCAGTAATCTTTCAATCATAAAACAAAAGTGTCACTCACATAAACTGCGAAGTGTTCGAGCTTGCCACTACTCTTAAAGGTATTTATAAAAGCGACTGATATGTCTGGTCTCAGAGCTGATTTGGTCATGAGATAGATATTTTTATTCATATAACAGTTGAACTTAAGTTTTGTTGGTTTATAGGAACTAGAACTTAGGTTTTGTTGATTTTATAGGAACTACCTAGTGGTCCCCCGATAGTCGAAATTCTACTATAATTAATTAAAATTATAAGTTTTTACACTATTATACTTCTACTATCAAAGACTATTATACTTCTAAAATCACAGATTACGGTCACATCTGCCCCATTATTATTCCCTGTGTTATAGGTTTCAGAGGTTGACACACATACTTATATATATTTAAACATATAAATATATAGATAATAAACACCCAAACAATGAGCAAACAAATCCATTCAACATAAGAATGTGGCCCGATTTTCCTTATGACTTCTTGCTCTCCACAATCTCTTGGTCTTTACAACGTTATACCAATTTTTTGACAGATTTAAATGCATTCCACTAAAATTGTAGATGAAACATAATAAATTTGAACTCACTCGCACAATTACACATCTGTGAGATGAAGTTCTGCACTGCATCCACCTTCTCCGGCAACGTGAACATCGGTGGCAGGACTTGCACAGTCCGATCCTTCTGCTTCAAGTAGTCGATGATGTTGGCCAGTATTTGTATGTAGTTGGGTCCTGCGTCATCGGTGCCGGGCATCTCCAGGCCGAACTCTTCAGCACCCAGTTTCACATCAAACATATATCCAACCGGTACACAACCTAAAATAGTCTGGTTTCGTAGTTTTGTACACAACAACTTTTCCTGAACCCCTATAATTCAACTGAAGTAAACAATAGCTTTTGAATTTGGCAGATAGTAGATGAAGCCAGATTTGGTCTCATGCAGTTACAAGAACGTGGACATGTGGATTATTATACTTTATTTTTATTTTTTATTGCTTAGGTGGGTGGACGAGCTCACAGCCCACCTGGTGTTAAGTGGTTACTGGAGCCCATAGACATCTACAACGTAAATGCGCCACCCACCTTGAGATATAGGTTCTAAGGTCTCAAGTATTACAAGTAAGATACAACGGCTGTCCCACCCTTCGAACCGAAACGCATTACTGCTTCACGGCAGAAATAGGCAGGGTGGCGGTACCTACCCGCGAGGACTTCAAGAGGTCCTACCACCATTAATAAAATTAATTGTTATATTTAAACTTACTTGGAATAATAGTTTCATGGTAACTATTTTTGACACCATCCTGCAGACTGAATTGGGTCACGGTGAACTCTCCGATTAAATAATCACCATTAGCTTTGCAGTATGAGTTCACGTCAATCACATAGAAATCTTCAGTTTTTATACCTGCAATCCATATTATAAATGATTAGTCAAAGGATACTTGAGTTTTGAGGGACACAGTTTGTTATGTAAACAAATTTGTTCGTGGTCATAACATGCGGCTGCGCCCGCAAGCTCCGTTGCTTTTTACTTTTTAAGTTTAGTTGCGAATAAACGCTCCGATTAACTAGTTGTGTTATTTAATTATCTTACTTCCGACAACGCCCTGAACCATTATTGACCACTACTAAAATAACTCATAAAGTGGTGACTCCGTGAGTGAACACATATGAATATTTTTTTTTAAAATAAATTTTGTAAATATAACAGTGAAAAGTGGAAATTTAACTTGTATGCTGCAAATGGAACAGTAATTAAAACTTACGGCTTAAGAACTTTAACTTTAAATTTAGGTCTGAGACGTCCGTACACTTGGGATTTTATAGTGGCGGAAATCAAACAGGCAAATATAGGGACTGATTTTTTATTACGACATAAATTAATGGTAGACTTAAGTGGACGGCGACTCATAGACCAAACTACTAGTTTAAGTGTAATAGGATCTATTGTAATGTGGAATGGACTATCGATAACCACGATAGACAACAGTAGCATTTATTCAGAATTACTTGCACAATACCCTGAAATTACCAGGCCTATGTGTTTTAAGGAGAACCCCCCACATTGTCTTTCATAATATTGAAACAACTGGAGCGCCTGTGTTTGCGCGGGCTAGGCCTTTAGCACCTGAGAGATATGCCAAAGTTAAGGAAGAATTTCAACGTATGTAAGAATTAGGTATTTGTCGACTGTCAAAGAGTATTTGGGCAAGTCCTCTTCATGTGGTGCCGAAAAAGGACGGGCAATTACGTCCTTGCGGTGATTACAGGGCATTAAATGCTATAACGAAGCCGGATAGATTTTTTCGCGTTTAGATTTAAATCGTGCTTATCACAATATACCAATTGCGCCCGAGAACGTCGAGAAAACCGCAATAACTACACCCTTTGGTTTATATAAGTTTACACGCATGACCTTCGGGCTAAGAAACGCGGCGCAGACGTTCCAGAGGTATATGAATAATTCGGTTTTGCGGGGGCTAGAAGATGAATTTAAGGTTGAGAGAGAAAATACTAACTCTTTTTATTTTGTTATATTGATGACATTATTGTGGCTAGCGAAACAGCGGGAAATCATAAGCGACAGTTAAAAGCTATTTTCGAGCGGTCAAATAAATTCGGTATAACGATTAACATATCAAAATGTAGCTTTAGGAAAGTCACAATTGGAGTTCTTGGGATGCGTAATCACTCCCGAAGGTATAAGCCCTTTGTCAGATAAAGTCCAAGCTATAATAGAATTCCCAAAACCGAAAACTATAGATCAATTAAGACGATTCTTGGGAATGATAAATTTTTATAGGTCTAGTTTACTAAAAGCTGCAGAATATCAATCGGTTTTAAATAAATATTTACAAAAAGCAAAAAAGAAGGGCAAATCGCTGGTTCAGTGGACTGACCAAGCGGATGCCGTGTTCGCGAGATGTAAAGCTAGCCTTCAAAACGCAACGAGGTTAAGTTACCCACTTGTAAATACAGAGCTAGCGATTATGACCGACGCGTCGAATGAGTGTATCGGCGGCGTATTACAAATAAAAATAGGTACACAATGGAGCCCTTAGGTTATTTTTCTAAGAAGCTCAGCGATGTTCAATTAAAATACAGTATTTATGATAGGGATGGATATGATAGCCTTTAGGCATTTAATTATCAGTGCAACATTTCAGACACATGATAGAAGGTAGACCTTTTGTAATTTACACCGACCATAAACCGTTAATATACCCGTTTTCGAAAAAACCTAGTGACAAGGAGACGCCTAGACGTATCAGGCAGCTCATGTATATTAGTGAATTTACGAATAACATTCAGTACATTAATGGAAACGATAATATTGTAGCCGATGCTTTATCACGTGTAAAGACTCTAGAGACCATAGTGTGCCCGGCGACGCTTGATTTCGTGGAACTCGCCGCGGCGCAGCAAGCTGACACCGAGTTGACGACATTACTAGCCAAAACAAACGAGCGAATGAGATTTAAACAAGTTGTTTCGCCCGATTGTCGTTATGAAGTTTGTTGTGAAGTCTCAACTAATGTTATTAGGCCGTATGTACCTGAGAGTTTTAGGAAAAGAGTATTTCACGCAATTCACGATCTAGCTCATCCTGGCATTCGCACAACTAGGAATTTAGTTTCAGCAAAGTATTTCTGGCCAGGCATGAATGCAGACGTAAAAAATGGGCTAAAACCTGCACACAATGCCAAAAGTCAAAAGTAGTGCGACATACTGTATCCGATTTAGGAAGGTTTGAAGCTAGTGACAGATTTGAACATATTCATGTAGATTTAGTAGGCCCATTGCCTACCACTGACGGTTACAGATATTGCCTCACGGTAATCTATAGAGCAACTGGCTGGCCGGAAGCTTTTACAATAAAAGATATGTATGCACAAACGGTAGCTAAGACACTATGAGGGCTGGATTACGCGATATGGCTGTCCTGTTATGACGGCAGGCAGTTTGAAAGCAGTTTATTTAATGAACTAATGAAAATTTTAGGTATAAACAAACCGAGAACGACGGCTTATCACCCTCAGGCAAATGGTGCAGTCGAAAGATTCCATCGTGTATTAAAGAAAGTTCTAATGGCACGTAAAGACTAAGGCACATAGGTAGGAGAGTTACCCACATTTTTATTTAGTCTAAGGGCAACACCACGTAGTGATACTGGTGTTTGTGCCGCAGAACTGACTTTCGGACAAGCCCTAAGGTTACCTGGAGATTTTTACGGAGGCTCTAACATTGCAATCAGCGATTCAAACGAATATGTAGCCCATGTTAGGGACGCGATTATGAAGCTCACACCAAGATCGTCACAACAACGTGATTCACGTAACATCTTTGTTCACGCGGATTTGCGTACATATTCTTACGTTTTTGTACGTGTTGATTTGGTGAGAAAAGCTTTACAGCCTCCGTATGAGTGATTAACAGAAAAGACAAGTATTTTTTGATAAAAATGGCTGATAAAAACGTTAATGTGTCGATTGATAGATTGAAGCCAGCCTACATGCTTAATGAAGGTGCCATTCCACAAAACCAGGAAAAAGATTGTACAACATCCACTAACCCCAGTGCTAACAATAATTTAAGGGATGATAGTACTAACAGTAATTATAAGCCTAAACATTTACATGTAGTTGTAGACTTGTTAAGCGAACAGTCAAATTTCAGTAACTTATGTAATCTATATATTAATACGTGAAGCCAAAACTTTGTAACTCTTTTTACGAAAATGCGCGGACGGAGGAGTATGAAATTTTCCACACTTATAGAGAATATAGAGAAGAAGTGCACAATGCTAATATTTTTTTCAAATAATGCATGAAAGATACATTAAATCAATAAAGAAAACATTACACACACTACATACCATGTATTTGACGCACACACGCATGAATACTATTTATTGTCAAACTTTTGTTCTTGGCGTCTGTTGTCAAATTGAGAATAGATCAAACATTGTTTGTCGTTGTTAAAAAAATTTATAGTGTAGTCTTGGCGAAATTTGTGATTATAGAAATATAAAATACAATCATAATAGTGTACAAACTTACAATTCCAATTGATTATAGTCGAATTTCGACTACTGCGGGACCTCTAGTAATAGTTAAAAGATCATACAGGTTCGATTCCTGAAGTGTATAAAAAATATGGAGTCAGATCAGATGTTAATTTGTTTTATTTTTATGTTACTTTTTGTAATATTACTTAAGTTGATATGATAACTTCTTATATTTGGTTTTTTGTAAGCTTTTTTTTTAGGAGGGGCTACTGTAGGGACACAGTTTGTTATGTAAACAAATTTGTTCGTGGTCATAACATGCGGCTGCGCCCGCAAGCTCCGTTGCTTTTTACTTTTTAAGTTTAATCGCGAATAAACGCTCCGATTAACCAGTTGTGTTATTTAATTATCTTACTTCCGACAACGCCCTGAACCATTATTGACCACTACTAAAATAACTAATAAGTTAAATATTACATTCATTAAATTTACCTATGCTTTTTTACAATACTCGCACCATTTGAAAGGTAATTAACGAATAAATTACGGCAATATAGTCTAAATTCAAATTAATTTTATTTAAAAAATATGAAATTCTATTTTTAAATTCTGTCATTTGTTTATTGATTAGTGTTTTCTTTTCACTAAATTTGTATTTTTTATCATCAATATGGACATGATAAAAATACAAGGTATAATGTCGCACAAAGTTACTCCGTTCACAACGTTAATGACGTGTACGGCGTGAATGGTTATAATATATATATATTTTTTTTTAAATATAAATATAAATATAATATTAATAATATTTACTAACAATCACGCCGCGTTAACTGGTCCCGTGATAAGTTCGTAAAGAACTTGTGTTACAGGTACCAGGTAACGGAAATAAATGTAAGAAATTCCGTTATGCTTCCGACAGGGAATTTTCATCCACGTGGTTGCCCGAAAACTAAAGACAGCAACGACGAATTAAAGGCGATTGTGGAAGCTGACGACACTAAATCTACCCCTGAGTTAGCTTTCAAATAATATCCGATCACCACCCAGGGTCAGAGCCCGGTCAGAGTGCGGGGTTCACGCGGTCAACATTAGTTAGACTGTTAGTTAGACCCTGGTTCAGCACCTAGGCAATACCCTGAAAACCAAAACTTACTCCTAAAAAAGACATGGTCACTGATTAGTGGTCTAGTGCTGGTTCAGGTCATCTCAGTTTTTACCAAATGGCATCATCACTACTGAGAATGTTTACTATGAGGAACTGGATACAATGATGGAGAAGCTCACTAATGTCCAGCCAGCCTTTGTTAATGACTTGTCCCTGCTGCTCCTAGACGACAACTACGACCACATACAGTCCAACATACAATCTCTAAGCTACAAGGGCTAGAGTGGGAAGTTTTGTGTCATCCACCATACTCAACAACCTTGCGCCAAAATACTCCTACTTTTTCTCAAGTATGGAAAACTTCTTGCCAAGGAAAAGAGTAGATGACCAAGAGGCAGTACAAAATGCCTTTTTAGGTTTGTACAGCTTTTTTGCATTAATTTCTATGTGTTTTTTATTGTTTAAAAACATATAATGTATAAAATGAATTGATTTCTAAGCCTAAATAAAAACAAATGTAAAAACTGTGGCCTAGAGGATAACATACACACAAAGAATGATGTCACTAAGCTTGTGTTCAAATCTTTTAGGANATGACCAAGAGGCAGTACAAAATGCCTTTTTAGGTTTGTACAGCTTTTTTGCATTAATTTCTATGTGTTTTTTATTGTTTAAAAACATATAATGTATAAAATGAATTGATTTCTAAGCCTAAATAAAAACAAATGTAAAAACTGTGGCCTAGAGGATAACATACACACAAAGAATGATGTCACTAAGCTTGTGTTCAAATCTTTTAGGAACAATACCAATTCTTCAATTAGTTTCATATTTTACAAATTTTCAATGGAGATTATGGAAGTACAATGTATAATAATAATAAAGTTTGTAATAAATTGTTTACAAGCATGCTCATCTTGTAAATGTCATTCAATCCAGATTATTATTTGGTGGTAGGACCTCTTGTGAGTCCACGCGGGTGGGTACCACCGCCCTACCTATTTCTGCCATGAACCAGTAATGCGTTTCGGTTTGAAGGGTGGGGCAGCCATTGTAACTTGAGACCTTAGAACTTATATCTCAAGGTGGGTGGCGCATTTACGTTGTGGATGTCTATGGGCTCCAGTAACCAATTAACACCAGGTGGGCTGTGAGTTCGTCCAACAAAAAAAGTTACCCCATTATTTCTATTCTAGGTAGTAACAACAATTATAGTGTTTTTAATGCTTGAAAAAAGTTAAATCATGTCTGAAGCTTGAAGTGAGTGAACTTACTTTGATCAAATACCTTGAGCTTCACAATATTCTGTATGTCTTTTTTTTCATTATCTTCAGCATTCTTCATTTCTCTCTGTTGTTGTTCTATTACTTTTATAGGTATGCCGGTCGACGTGAACTTAGTTCCAGTTTGTTTGTTCTTTTCTTTTTCATTCTTAGCTTTCTCTTCATATTTTGCTTTTAATGTAGGCCTTAAGTTCTGAACAGAAATGTTTACATAAATATTTTGATACCAATATTTTTTTAATAATATTCTCCTGAGCATTAAAAGCTGCATTAAAAGTTATTTCATCTGTGTATGGCTCTGCTATAAGCTGACACAGCTCCCCAATTATGAAATTCGATAGCTAAATGGCAACCAGTGCGATAAGACCCGCAGTCCTTTCGTTTGTCTAAGCTTGATTTGAGCGGTAGCCCCGTAGCCCTCAGAAAAAGCATCAGCTAGGCGGTTAAGAAATGTGGCAGACCTGCCTTTCTAAAAACTTCCACCAGTTTTACCGAAATATCTATGTATCAATATGTTTTTGTATAATTTATTGTATGAATCAATAAAGTTCCTGTTTAATCAGACATCAGCTATTTTAATTTTTCTGGCAACATCATAGTTTAATAATTTTGGTCTGTTCTATCGTTATATAGTTTTGGTTGTTTAGATTAATTTCTGAATGGTCTGGCTTGATTTTGATTGGATCACGAGATTACAGATAATTGCAGATAAAAAGTTCACGAAAGACAGTGACTACTCACTATCAGGCAGGCAGTATCATTGTTTGCCTATAAATAAATAAATAAAACCTATTCAAATAGATACAAACCTGCCATACAGGACCAGCGGCTTCAGCTAATTCCTTGGTGTTGGCATATTTTATGCCTATTTCTGCTTGTTCTTTCCTATAGTCCATCATGAAGAAGAAAAATGGATTTTGTGGGGTCTTCTTTTTTGGCATCTTTATTTTTTCTTATGACTCTAAAAAAATTCCATAGCATTATTAATATTTTAGTTTTATATATATACAGTAAATATTTCTCTAACACTAGCGGCTCAATGAAGTATTTTCCTACTATTATAGCTTAGACATTTAACATGTATTAATATACAAGTAGGTTTTGAAATTTGGGGTAAATTTAATTTGAGGGGAAGGGAGTTATAAGTAGAATTACTAATTTACATTACAAGCACTGTTGTATGGGCATTTTCCTTGAGTTTTATTAAATAATCATAGCTCTCACTTTTATAATCAACGCTACCAAGCAACGGTTTCCGGTTTATATCTTATTTATGGCTACGTTGCAGAAATTTACACATAGTTTACTTGCAACCTGTTGTTNGTAAATTTAATTTGAGGGGAAGGGAGTTATAAGTAGAATTACTAATTTACATTACAAGCACTGTTGTATGGGCATTTTCCTTGAGTTTTATTAAATAATCATAGCTCTCACTTTTATAATCAACGCTACCAAGCAACGGTTTCCGGTTTATATCTTATTTATGGCTACGTTGCAGAAATTTACACATAGTTTACTTGCAACCTGTTGTTCGTCTAAATTGTAAATGGATCTTTTGTGTCTACTTTCAGGAATTGTTTAAAACCAATAGGATTTAACTGTGACACGCTAAATTTTCGGTTAATATGCAGATAATTGTAAGGCAGACCAGACCTGTCTTAGTGTCTTACAATAAATACGAGGAATGATACTTGATAGGCATATGTACCCACATAGGTAGGTATAAAAGCTGAAACTTACAGAATAATATATATAACCTAATTCGGCAGTCAAACACGTTACTATACAATACTAGATTTTGTATTTTCTCCGAAAATGTGTTAGTATCTCATATTAGTCTTAATCATATCAAATACACATATTATTTGACTGTTATTGATTTTATTTGTGGCGGCACCAAACTTAAATAAATTTATATTCGTCTATTTGCACAAGCAAAGGGTAACAGTACAAAGTAGGCCCAGACAGACGCGTTTTGTAACAAAATCCGATGGTATGTTTGTCATATGAAATAGAAGTAGCTGGAAAGAAAGAAGGAAGGGATTAAGAAAATAACTTAGAATTTGGTTGGTTAGGTTAGTAGAGTAGAAATAACCATTCAGCAAAATTAGAAGAATTGCACAACGATATTTTGTTGATTCAGTGTTTCTTCTAGTTTAAAGGTGTAATATCACAGTTGTTTATTAATCGTTTAGAATCTGTGAAAGTACACATGTGTTGAGAAATCAAACGAAATCGCAAGACGTTGCTACTTCGATTACTCCAAAAAAGCTTTTGAACGCTAGGTAAAACAGTGGATAGTTTTCAGTATGGTTGTTTCGTTACGTCGAACGTCTATTCGGTGTTGCCTCATTTTATCTCTTTTAATTATTACTTCCTTCCTTCTTACTTCCTTTTATGTATAATAAGATATGTATATTTTATTCAGATTCCTATTACTATTCATCCATCTTCCATCAGACATGACTTTGGCTTTTGTTACAAAATACGACGTTCCCTTTGTCTGTCCAATGGACGATTTAGACAAAAAAAACAATATCAAATTGTCAAACGTCAATCGTTCAGTTGCCTCTCGGAGTGTGTTTTGTCAGTTTTGTGCTAGGATAAAACAATCCGTTATTAACCAATTTAGTCAAAGAAAACAATTACTTTACGCTATAATCATAGTGAAAATAACAACTAAATGTTTTAATGTTCATGAAAGTTCTAAAGTTTTCTACTTCTCTGTATACAATTTAGAAAGGTATGTCTGTTTACTATATTTAAAAATTGTAAATCCATTTAGTAAATGTAAAAAAAAGAATATTTATTCTGTAGACTTGCCGGTTCAATATTATAAGTCATTAAAGTAGCGCATTGGTGAACGTAGGTGTGGAGATGTCAAAGCGTTCCACTTTATATCTTAATCGTCTATATCCGCAGTGAACTACAAATTTCTCCTGTTGATCTTATTGAAGCCGATATATTTTTTACTCGTTAGGAAAACGTTACGTTATTTCATTTTTCAAGTGTATAAACTCATAATTCACACCACATCGAACCAGAATTGGGGCTTAGTTATTATCAGTAATGTTTATGGTGTTTAGTCATCAACACAAACAATATTAAATGTTAAACATGGACCAGATACAATTTGGGCTTACGATTACGATTTTCGGCTTGGACCAAATATATCAGGAATTACGTGATGCTCGTTGATCTTTCCTAGGGTCTCAATTGTACATTTAAACAATTACCATTTCCCTTCAAGGCACTAGTACAAAAGTATAGTATAAACAAATTACGTCTGTTTGTAATTTAATAATTTATTTATTAGCTAAGAAAGAAAGGAGTAGGCTCATAGCCTCACTAATGTAAAGCAGTGCTATCTCCCTTGAGATTAAACATAAAATTTACTATGTTTCTTTTCCTTAATTTTTCTGTACATAGCTGCCGGTAGCCTTGAAGGGCTATTCCAGCTGCATATAGTTAGGTAGGTATGCTAATGGGGCTCAATATGGAAGAACTTGCTGACACTAGCCTCAGTAAGAGCAGTTTTTTGCTGAATATACAACTGAAACAGAATTGTGACCCACATATAAGATCCAGTGAGAAAATCCATGAGTTATGTTTCTGGGTTTGGTTTGAGAGTCATTGAAAGTGGATTGAGAGGATTTGTCATGAAAAATTCAAGGAGATAGTGGATGTTTGCCCTTTTCGCTCTGCTTGGAAATGTTTTCTCATCTGTTTGTTAATTAATTAACTTTAATTTTTTTTGGTAGCTTTATTACAGGGGCTCCCAAACTTATTTTGTCTGCTGCCCACTTTGAGAATAACTTCTTTTTTAGCGCCCCTATTTTTTTACCTACTTACTATAGCGAGAGCTGTGTCGGTGTCTAAGAGTCCTTCTAGATGAATCATTCATCATTTTTGGGTTCATTTTTTTTGGGTCTCTTACCGCCCCCCTTTAGGCCTGCAGTGCCCACAAGGGGGCGTTATCGCCCACTTTCGGAAAGACTGCTTTAGTGTGTTAGTAATTAGAAATCTTTGTAAATAGTCTGCTTTTTTTTGCAAAATGTTAGGAAAATAAAGAAATCAAATAGTTTTTTGATTCTAAAATACCTTTACTAGCTATTGCAATAGTTAAATTTTTATATATAGCATAAAAAGGTCATAGTGAGCCAACCTCAAAATATAGACATATGCAAACTTTTTTTAGAACTTTTAAAGAGGAACAATTCTGTCATATTAGTGAAACTTTAACCATTTCCACAAGTGCACATCGCGGAGGCTCTGGAAAGAAAAAAAAGCCTGAATTTGAAATATTTTTTATTAGTGCTCTGTTCGTATTGGTCTTAGCATGAGCTTAGCTTTCCTGAATAAATGGGCTATCTAACACTAAAAGAATTTATATAATCTGATCAGTAGTTCCTGAGATTAACGGGTTCAAGCAAACAAACAAACTCTTCAGCTTTATAATATTAGTATAGATTCAGAATGCAATTTCATGTCTGCAGAAAATCACCATTAAATTCAGAGCTTATCTTATTCCAATTATACTTACATCACACATTGTTTCATTGTTACATACATATAATAAAGACTAATTTATCTAGAAGAGGTAGGTCTGCTGGTTGAAATTTTTCTCAATTATTATTTCATGAGTTCTTATAACATCAGGTGTGCCACAGGGCATCCATAGATTACTATGCTCTCGTATCTACACACGTCAATTTATACTAAGTGAGGTTGATTTTATCTTGACTAGTTTTAGAATTTTAAAATAATTGTTATTGAAACATAACATTCAAAATTCATATAAAGTTTGCATGCTCTCAGCATACTTAAAATTTGTTTGTGTTTAACTTTTTATCTTAGTCATTAACATACGTTCAAATTTAACACTTGAAGTAATCATTTCAAGATATTCTTTGCTTTGATTTTAAATGCATACCAATTAATTTTAAACTTGAACATAAAAGATGTTATCATAGTTTAATTTGCATTTTATGTTCAGTTTTGTCAGCTTAATTAAAAATACATAGGAACAGCGGTTAAAGTCCATTGTAATACAACATTGTAAAACACAATTTTGTAAAATAAGGAGGTTGAAAAACAACACCCTGTAGACACGGTAGTCACACATCTGCGTGCTTAGTGCGAGTTTTTTAACGTTTTCGATACCGTAAAATGGAGTTGGAACGTTTGCCGACGTTTGCCGCTAGGGGCGCTGTTCCTACTGCATACAAATTTGAGTTAACTTTTACGGCATCGAGAACGTTCAAAAACTCGCACTAAGCACACTGATCCTATAGCAATTTAGTTACAAGAGCAATAGGCCTCGTCTTCCATTGTCCCTCACGCTTATACCACCAAAGAGATTCGCATTATATACCTACCAAAAATTGGTTTCCTCGTGTACATTGTCGGCAAGCGAGAGTGATTCTACCGGATATAATCCGTCAGCTATTCCGTATTAATAGACGACGAATTGGTACACAGGGGACGTGGTGAACGTTAAATATTCATTTTCAATAAGTATTATAGTTTAAATGAGTGTATTAAAAGTATTATAATACACCACGTGTTAACCCACTGAGTTTCTCGCCAGATCTTTTTAGCGGGTCGCGATTCCGATTCGTTAGTAGATTCAGCGAAGCACTGCTCTTGCTAGGGCTAGTGTTAGCAAATTCTCTCAGGTGTTAACCCATTGAGTTTCTCGCCAGATCTCCTTAATGGGTCGCGATTCCGATTCGTTTGTAGATTCAGCGAAGCACTGCTCTTGCTAGGGCTAGTGTTAGAAAATTCTCTCAGGTGTTAACCCACTGAGTTTCTCGCCAGATCTTCTTAATGAGTCGCGATTCCGATTCGTTAGTAGATTCAGCGAAGCACTGCTCTTGCTAGGGCTAGTGTTAGCAAATTCTCTAGGTTGAGCCCGTGAGCTCACTTACCCGTCCGGGCGTAGGTGAAATAGCCTCTTAGGCTACCAGCGAATAGGTGGGGAAAAAAACACTGCGTTCTACGATTACGTCCAGGCTCATATGCCACATGTAACTGAACTTTTTTTTCTTTTTCTTTTTCCTACTTAAGCTGATAGCCTTGAGAGGCTATTTCAGCGTAACCTTAACTAGTAGGTGAGCTCACGGGGCTCAAACCTGACGACGTTGGTAACACGAATCCTAGCAAGAGCCGTGCTTCGCAGAATCTACCACCGGATCGGAAACGTAACCCGCTGAGAAGGTCCGGCGAGAAATTCAGCGGGCTGTGTTTGTGGGTTAATTTACTCGTCAAGCCCGTCGCTTGCGACGAAGAACGATGACCGGGCAACCGAACGAGGCAGTCGCTAATCTGTCATTATAATGCCCAGCAGTAACCAGCACCGAACTTTACGCTATTTAATTAGTTTAATAGCGGACAGACTTTCTCGCCAGATGGGATGACGCGTCACGCGCACGTAAAATAGGCGCGATTTAAGGACGTTATTCAGGAAACTTCCCGTTATCCGTCTACTGTAGTAGCTGCCCTACAAATAAAAATTGCTGTGTGACAGAAATAAACACGATTGTGCCGGCTGCCTCGATCAGGCTTATGCTACAAACACGTGTGACGTTTTAAGATGCGATGCGTCACATACCAATCGAGCCTGTCTTGTATGTTTGTCAACGTTACATAACAATGAAATAACTTGATCTATTCGATCACAACATCTAAGAAGAAAATGTCTTTTTATCGTCAAACACCTGGCCCTATGCTCACTACTACTATTTCGGAAATCGAAAGTGATTGAAAATAAGGCCATAAAATAGGGTTGTCGATTTTAATATAAAATTAACACGCTTCTTAATAAAATGAAAAAACATCGTTGAAGTTCAATTTGTTTAATGCTCAGGTTTTACAGCTTGTAGTCTGTATAAAATAAAAATCCAG